ACCCTAACCCTAACCCTAACCCTAACCCTAACCCTAACCCTAACCCTAACCCTAACCCTAACCCTAACCCTAACCCTAACCCTAACCCTAACCCTCTTGCTGCCATATTCAGGTCCATAACCTGCCAAGCCATGCATTTGTCAGCAAAGCTGCAGCTGTTGCCACCTATCTGCAGCCAGTGCCCATTGTTGCATCTGAAATAGCCAACTGCCTCATTGTGCTCACTGCTTGGGCACTTGACCACTGCTGCTGCTGCTGGCTGTCAGGTGATGCCTGAGGCCCAGCAACAAGTGAGGCTTGCTGGCTGCTGTCTGGTCCCTCAGTGCTGCATAATGTCTGCTTGTGTCTTGCTGCAAGCTGATGCCCTTTGTGGCCAGCAGGGGCTGCCTTTGATCTGGCTGCACTGGCCGTCGCGGAAGGCCTGGCCACTGGCTGCGCCGAATCTTCTCGCGTGCGTTCGGCCCGGCGGCCGCGGCACGGCGCTTTCGCCGCGGCAAGATCGGCGCGCGCCGCCGGCTATCACGCCAGAGGCCGCCCTAGCGCCGGCCATGGCTAGCGCGGCCGAGCATGTTCGCCCGCCACGACCCCGCCCTCCCTCGGCCGCCGGCTGCGGCTTGTGCGGCACAAAGCCGACTCCGAAGCGCCAAATGGCCCGCGCGAGCGAGATCGCGTGCAAGCGGCGAGACGGAGGAGCGCCACGCGCGCACGCGTCGCGGCTCAGGGGGCCGCTGAGCAACGGCCGTGGCGCAGGCCGGTACGCCGCGCAGGGCAGGCCAAGAGGCGGCCGCTGGGTCAGCGCAGCATCCACCTGCCCGCCCGGGCGCGGGCGAGGGACGCTATCGCAGCAGAACTTCCCGCCCGAGCGCGGCACCGTCGATGCGCTGCTGGTCTCGCGTGACGACGCCATGTGCCGAACAAGCAGGTGCAGAAACTGCCGCTGCACGATGCAGCCTTCACCCGCAGCTAGAGGTGCATCCTAGCGTCGCCGGTATCGCCAAAAGCCCGCTTCGGTCGGCTGCTCGCCCGTGGTGTGCGTACCCCGCACCACGCCTCGTCAGGGTGCATCGCCACCCGCCGGCGCACGCGCTGGATGCTGCCCAGCGGCGCCGTCCTCGGACCTGCCTGATACGGAGGCCTGTCGCGGCGTATATAGCCTCGCACCTCCGTCGCAGAGGAAGAAGCACGCCCCATATCGCATTCCTCGCCTGTCACCATGCGCCTCACTCTTACCACCCTCGCGCTCCTGCTCGCGGCCGGCGCCAGCGCGGCACCGTCGCCGGCGATGCTCGTCAAGGAGTCCGTGGCGGCGCCGCGCGGCTGGGTGCGCCGCGGCGACGTGCCGGCGGGCACGACGATCCCGCTCTCCTTTGCCCTCAAGCAGCGCGGCGCCGCCGAGCTCGAGGCGGCGCTGCTGGCCGTGTCGGACCCGGCGTCGGCGCGCTACGGGCAGCACCTGACGCGCGACGACGTGGCGGCGCTGCTGGCGCCGGCGCCCGAGGCACAGCAGGCCGTGCGCCGCTGGATGGCCAGCCACGGCATCGAGGAGGACGTCGAGGCACGCAGCTACGCCGGCGACTGGATCCGCGCCCGCGTGCCCGTCGAGAAGGCGCGCGACATGCTCGACGCCGACTTTGCCGTGTGGGCGCGCGACGGCGACGAGCGCCAGATCGTGCGGGCGCTGCAGTACAGCCTGCCGCGCGAGCTCCACGAGTGAGTGGGGAGGATGCGCTGACCTGCCGCACTTGCTGACGATGCACAGGCACGTCGACCTCGTCGGCCCCACGACGTACTTCGGCGAGCCGCTGGCGCACCGTGCGCCGTCGCGCCTCGTCGAGACGATGCCCGAGGGCTGGAAGCCGGCCGTGGCCGGCGCTGGCTCGCGCGTCGCCGCCATCAACGTCGCCGGCGCGCCGGCCGTGTGCCTGACGGCGAGCACGACGATGCAGTGCCTGCGCGAGCTGTACAAGACGGCCGACTACAAGCCGCAGGCGCCGGGCAAGCAGTTCATCGGCATCAGCGGCTTCCTGGAGCAGTACCCCAACGCGCAGGACCTGCAGCAGTTCCTCGCGACGGAGCGCACCGACGCCGTCGGCTACATGTACAACTTCACCAGCATCGACGGCGGCCTCAACGACCAGTCAATGCCCGGCGTCGAGGCAAACCTCGACGTGCAGACGATCGCGGCGCAGGCCTACCCGATCCCGAGCACGTTCTACTCCGTCGCCGGCCGCCCGCCGTTCACCGCCGACACCAACACGCCGACCAACACCAACGAGCCGTACGCCAGCGAGTTCGAGTACCTGCTGGCCCAGCGCAGCGTGCCCAGCGTCGTCAGCACGAGCGTGAGTGTGTGGGTGGCTCGGCGCGACCTGCACCGTGCTGACACTTGCCCGGCAGTACGGCGACGACGAGCAGACGGTGCCGACGCCCTACGCGCTGCGCGTGTGCGGCGAGATCGCCGCGCTCGGTGCACGGTGAGCAGCGCTCGAGCCGCCACAACAGCCGCTCTACTGACATCTGGTTGCAGCGGCGTCTCGATGCTCTTCAGCAGCGGCGACTTTGGCGTCGGCGCCGACAACACGTGCTTCTCCAACGACGGCAAGAACCGCACGACGTTCCTGCCCGCCTTCCCGGCGTCGTGCCCCTGGGCGACGACCGTCGGCGCGACGGAGGCATACGCGCCCGAGGTCGCCGGTGAGCAGCGTCGGCATGCCCCTGCACCACACCGCTCACCTCCGCTCAGTGTCGAAGAAGATCGGCGGCTACTTCGGCGGCGGCGGCTTCTCCAACATCTTCCCCGCGCCTGGATATCAGAAGGCGGCCGTGTCGGCGTACGTCAAGAGCCTCGGCAACCAGTACCAGGGCCTGTACAACAAGGTGTGTGCGCCTGCCCTGCTGCGCTGCTGTGCTGCGCTCACTCTCTGCTGCAGAACGGCCGTGGCTACCCGGACGTCGCGGCGCAGGGCTCGCGCTACCTCATCGTCGACGGCCACCGCTACGTGCACGTCGGCGGCACCTCGGCCAGCTCGCCGACGTTTGGTGAGGCGCTGCAGTGCCGCTCCAGCCCACACTCCTGCTGACTCCTCTGCCAGCCGCGGTCATCTCGCTCGTCAACGACGCCCGCCTCGCGGCCGGCAAGCCGGTGCTGGGCTTCCTCAACCCGCGCCTGTACGCCGGCGTCGGCGCGGCGGCGCTCAACGACATCACCAGCGGCTCGAGCGCCGGCTGCAACACGGCCGGCTTCCCGGCAGCCAAGGGCTGGGACGCCGTGACGGGCTTCGGCAGTGAGTGTGGTGTGTGTGTGCCGCATCTGAGCCCGCGCTGACGCCCGCTGCAGCGCCCGACTTTGAGAAGCTGCGCACGGCGCTGGCCTGATGTGACCGCAACCCAGATGCGCCGCTCTGCTGCACGAGCATGGCAGGCTGCACGGAGAGTACCGAATGAATAGCATGCATTGCTCTGCCAAGTGTGTGTGCGACGCAGCCGAGGGCGGGCGAGGGCGGGCAGGACGTGTTCCCACGCGAGCAGCTGTTTCGCGCCTGACGCCTGCGCTGCTCGCTGCGCCGCCGGAGTGTGCAGCGAGGTCTTGCAACCAAGCACGGCTGCGGATGGGCAAAAGACGCTCAGCGCACGCTCTGTACATGCTGTCGATGCTGCGGCTGCGGCCCCGGGGTGTGCAAGATGAAGGCCGGCGCGGGAGAGGACGGGGCGTGGCCAGCCGGCGCGCTCCCACGGTGTCGCGTTGCTGTCACGCTGGCTGCTGTCACACCGCGCACGCCCCTTCAGCGCGGCCGCCGAGGCACCGCCGCCCTCGTCACCTTCACGCCTCGCCCCTCCATCACCCACCCGCCATGGGCACGCCGCTCTCGCCCACGCCGCACCCGGCGCAGTGGGACGTGCCCGCCGTCGTCGCCTTCCTCGCCGCCCTTGCGCCGTCGCAGGCCGCACACGCGCCCGCCTTCCGCACGCACGGCATCGCCGGCGACGTGCTGCTCGCGCTCGACGCCGCGGCGCTGCGCGAGCTCGGCGTGCGCAGCGTCGGGCAGCGCCTCGTCATCCTCACGGGCGTGTGGCGCCTCAAGCAGGAGTGGGGCATCGCGCTCGACGACGGCGAGTGGCGCCCGAGCTGTGAGTGCGCGGCGCAGACGAGCGCGCGGGGCGGGCAGCGCAGCAGACGGCGAGAGGAGCAGCACCTGGCGCGCTGCACGCTGGACGTCTCGTCGCACACTGGCCGCGTCGCCATGGCGCCGCTGATCGAGCAGCGCCAGGGCAGCTGAGTGGCGCGAGCGGCAGAGGCGCGCCTCGGTGTCGCAGCGATATCGACGGCGCTCGCGAGCCGGGCCGGGCCTGGGTTGGCGCCGGGTCGTCGCTGCACGGCCGCTAGCTGCCTTCACGCCAGCTCTGTCAAGCGGTCTGGGGCTCCGCCGTGCCCAGCTGCGATGTGCAGAGGTCGTCAGCCTTGAGTTGTGGGCCACGAGACTCCAGCGCTGCCGAGACACAGATGTCGCACTGCCGTCTCGCCGGCGAGCTTTGCGGCGGTGCTGCTCGGTGGACGCCTGGCCCGCGATTGCTGGCCGCTCGCTGACACTCCTCACAGCACACGATCTGCTCTCCTCGAGCTCCTCTTCGTCCTCGTTCCCCTCGACTGCGGCGTCGTCGCATTCGTCGCACGTCTCCTTTGCAGCGGCGCTGCGCGTGCGCGACGAGCGGATCCGCCTGCTGGAGGGCGAAGTGAGCCAGCTGGCCGAGTACCTCAGCCGCTTCCAGCACGACTTTGCGGGCGTGTGCCGCATGCTCGGCGTGCGCGTGAGTGTGCGCAGCGTCTTTGCGTGGCGGTGCGTTGGCTGACGCGCAAGCTGGCAGAACCCGTCGTCGGAGCATCCTGCGCCCTCGCTCGCGTCCAAGCCGGCCGATCCGCTCCTCTTCACGCCCGAATCGACGCTCGCGGCGCTGGCCTTGCCCTCGCCGCGTGCGCCTGTCTCGGGCGCCAGCGCACACGTGGCCTCGCCCGTACAGAGCGGCACGTCGCTCGAGTCGCCGCGGCGCCTGGCCGCAGTGCAGCGCACAGTGCCAGACGAGACGCACTCGGGCGCCGAAGACGTGCCGCCGCTGATCAAGGCGCGCACGCCGACCAGTGCGCACGCTGCTGCCGAGCCAGCCGAGGCCACAGGCCTGACGCCCACATCTGCGCATCCCGCCGGCCGCACTGCAACGACGCCGGGCGGATCCACGCTGGCAGCCACGCCTGGCGGCTCGGTGCTCACGCCGGGCCACGCCGCCTCGCCAGCAGTGCCTGCGCGCGCCGGCTCGGCCACACCGAGCGAGCGGCCAGAGAGCAAGAGCAGCGCCAAGGACGACGCCGCCAATCCGTATAAGAGCTTCCGCGTCACGCTCGACGACCCGTGCCACAAGGTGCTGCCGGCGGCGCTGAAGAAGTACAAGATCAACGACGACTGGCGGCAGTACGCGCTGTTCATCTGCTACGGCAACACGGGTGGGTGGCGCACAGGACGCCGCCGAGACGTGGCTCACCTCTCCGTCACCCAGAGCGCTGCCTGAGCTACGACGAGAAGCCGCTGCTGCTCTTCCAGAAGCTCAAGGAGGCCAAGCAGAATCCCGTGTTCATGCTGCGCCACATCCGCGACGTCAAGTCGCCCATCGCCATCGCAAACGCAAAGGCCGCGGCGCGCAAGAATGACGCGGCCAAGGAGGGCGACGCGCCGGAGGCCAGCCCGACCAAGGCGCGCTCAGGCAGCCGCGCGGCGGGCAAGGTGGCAGAAGCCGTTGCGCGCTTCGGCGGCCACACGCGCGACGGCAGCACGGGCGATGGCGACGAGAGTGGGCCATCTGGCACGGCCGCCAACGGCGCCGAGCCTCCTGCGCTGCTGCCATCAGTCGAGGGGTCTGACCCGGTCATCAGCGGCCCGGCATCGCAGCTTCCGCCGTCGGCGGCGCCGCCCACGTACGCAATCGCCATCTACCCGTACGTCTCGGAGCGCGCCGACGAGTTCGATGTCGGCGTTGGCGCGACATTCGTCGTGCTCTCCAAGGCCAAGGGCTGGTGGGTGGTGCAGCGCGATCGCGGAGGCTCGGGACGGCCCGACGTCGAGGGCGCGCGAGGGCGCGACGACGAAAACGGCCACCACCCCGGCGTCATCCACTCGGGCTGGGTGCCGGCCGGCTGCCTGCTCGAGACGTCCCGGCCGCTCGCCGGCGTGTTCCTCTCTGCGCCCGAGGAGAACGGCGAGTCGGGCGACAAGGACCGCAGCATGGCCACTGCGCCGATCCCGCCGGCGGTCATCACGAGCACAAGCACGCCGGGCGTGATGCTCATGGACTACGCGGCGCCCGAGGATGCGCTTGACCTGCGCAAGGAAGACCGGCTGCGTGTCTTCAAGCGGTGAGCCGCGCCGTGCCCTGCGCCGCACCTCATGCTCACGCCGCGCACAGCTACAACCACTGGTCCTACTGCGTCGCCGAGTCGGAAACGCACGCACGCGGCTGGGTGCCCTCGTGGTGTGCGTGCGCGCCGCGGCTTGCTCACGCGTCCCACGCTCACCCTCCATGCCGCAGACATCGGCAAGCTCGCCTCCTCTTCCTCTTCGCGCTCGCGCCACGGCACTGCAAGCGGCAGCAACACGACTGACGCGGCCGCGCCCGCGCCGACGCCCACGACGGCGAGCGGCACCGGCGAAAACGTGCCGTTCACCTGATGGCCCTCTCGCCACCCCGGATCCCCCTGCTCCCTGATTCCCCGCTCGCCGCCAATGCATACCATCGCGACGCCGCCCCTTCACCTCTGCCTCTCACTCTCTCACAGGCTCGGTGCGGCATGATTCATAGGATTGCGCGGAGCATGCGACGCCGAGGATCTCTCAGTCGGGACAGTGGGAATCACAGTTCGTGGCGGACAGGAAGCGCGCATGGGGTATCAAGCATGCACGCGGAGGCCTGGGAAGAGGAGGAGCGTGCGAGGCGCGCGCTTACTTGGCGCCGTTGAGCGCGGCGCCGGGCGCCGAGGCGCTGCCGACGATGGAGAAGGCCGGGCTGTGCCAGTCGGCCGCGTTGGGCAGCTGCGCGTTGGCGGCCTTCTCGCGCTCGTCGAGGCGGTTGACCCAGCCGTCGCGGTTGCCGAGCTGCGGCAGGATGCTGTCGCGCTTCGACGTGGCAATCTTGAACGTGCCGGCACTCTGCTTGCTCTGCTGCACCTGCTGCTCGCCCTTGGCGGCCTTCTGCTTGATGGCCTCGAGCGAGTCGTCGGCGTCGCGGATCTGCACGAGCTGCGCGTCGGCCTTCTCGAGGGCGTCGCGGATGCCCTGCTCGGCGGCCTTGCAGATCTGCTTCTTGATGATCGACGAGGCAAGCGGCTTGAGGATCTTGACGAGCAGGTCGTGCTTGCTATCGCGGATGGCAAACGTGAGCTTGTCGATCTTGGCCTTGACCTGCTTGACAGTGAAGACGTGCGTCGGCGGGCGGCGCGAGCCCTTGGGCGCCGACGCCGTCTCGAGGTGCACCGTGACCGTGAGGCCCTGGCCGGCGAGGAGCACGTCGGCCGTGCCGCTCTCCTTGAGCGTCGGGAAGCCCTTCTTCTTGCGGATGTCAAACTTGACGTCGCGCATGTCGCACTGGATCTGGCCCAGCGTGAGCTTGATCGAGTGGCGGTGCTCGTCGCCGAGCTTGGCGTAGGCCGAGAGGCGCATGTGCGAGTGGCCGTCGATCTCGACCCAGTTGGGGATCAGGTTGGCGGCGTCCATCGTCAGGTTCTCGATGACGAGGTCGACGGTCGGGTCGCTGAACTCGATGCGCGGCAGCGGCACGAAGCCGATGTGCTGCACGAGCTGCGGCAGGATCGGGTCGCGGATGTCCTTCCAGAGCTCGGGCTTGAACGTCGGCTTGCCCTCGGCGTTGAAGAAGAGGTCGCGGCCGAGCGCGTGCCACTTGCGGCCGAACTCGACGTTCTCGGGGTCGTCGCCCATGCTCTTGAAGAAGGCCTCGACCTCGTCGAAGAAGCGCTCAAAGTGCGGGCGGTACTTGGAGTTCTCCGAGAAGAAGCGCTTGCCGCTGTCGATGATCTCGCGCGCCTGCGTGTTGGCCTCGTCCTTCATGACGAAGCCGGGCTGCTGCAGGCAGGCGCGGACGTACTTGCCGAGCTTGGTGAACCAGCCCTTGAGCTCCTCGTCGCCCTTGACGTCGGTGTAGATCTGGTCGGCGGCGTCGAACATGGGCTGCGTGCTGTGGCCGTTGGCGAAGCGCTCGATGAGCGTGCGGAACGAGCGCTCGGCCGTCTGCAGGTTGCCCTCGCCGCGCAGGCTGCTCGCGTTGTTCTCGACCTGCGCGTGCACGTCCTCAGCGTGGCCCTTGTAGTTCTCAAACGCCGTGAGGAAGAACTCCATGGCGTCCTGGTAGTCGCGGTGGCGCTGGCACTCGACGAGCACCTTCTTGAGGCGGTAGATGAAGAGGTCGCGGCGCTGCTCGGGGAACTGCTCCTTGAAGTAGTTGACCGTCTTGTCCTTGTGCTCCAGGACCGTCTCCTTGGCCTTGGTGAGCTGCGCATCGGCCCAAGCACGCGGAAAGGAGAGGGAAAGGGCTGCGTCAGCTTTGCTCTGGGTTGCGGCACATCTGCGGCAGCTCACCTTCTCGCGCGTCTCGGGCGAGACCTCGGGCAGCTTGTTGGCGGCCTTGTCGGTGTCGACGGCGCCGGCCACGTTCTGCTTGTTCTGCTCGGCGGTGGCGTTGGGGTCGACGGCGTTGGCGGCGGCCTGGCCCTGGTTGATGGCCTCCTGCTTCAGCTCGTCCTTCTTCTCGATGGCCTCGCCGATCTTCTTGAGCGGCGCCGGGATGTCGTCGTGGAACTCGTTCTCCGGCGCCGGCTGGTCGACGGTGGCCAGCTTGTCCTCGTCGGGGCGCGCCTGCTGCGCCGTGAAGCTGGCGGCGTCGGCAAAGATGTCGCGGCCCACGAGGCCGAGGTCGCGGAAGAGCTTGCGCGCCTCGCCGTTGCGCAGCCAGAGCTTGAGCAGCGTGCGGAACGCCTCGCCGGCCGTCTCGGCGTCCTTCTTGGCGTCGTCGGCCGTGACGGGCGCGGCAACGCCGGGCGTGGCGCCCTGGTAGTCGGCCTTGATGGTGGCGTGCAGGAAGTGCTGGAACTCCTCGTTGGAGTTCTTGCTCAGCACGAGCTGGCGCATCGACTCGATGATGTTGCGCACGTCGCTGACGAGCTTCTGGCCCTCGGGCGAGAGCTTCTCGACGTCGACGGGCGAGTTCTCGATGGTGTAGCGCAGCGTCTCCTGCGGCGGGCAAGAGGGTCAGCACGATGCGCGCGTGGCAGGTCTCGCGCGCGCTACGCACATCGATCTGCTTGTTGTCGGGGTAGCGACCCGAGCGGAAAGCCTGGATCACGCCGAAGAACTTGAGCTTGCGGTCGACATCGGCAGCCTTGGCCTTCTGCTCGCGGGACGGGTGTCAGTGGGTGTGTCTAGAGGAAGGCTGGTCTTTGCGCGCAGAGCGTGCTGCTTGGCAGGAGCCGCTTCTCGCCGTCGCGCGCGATGCCCTGCTCCTCGGCTGCGCGCATGCATCCCGAGCGCGCGCTCACGGCCTCCCGGCACACACGACTCCGCACAGCACACTCACGGGGTCCATGGCGACGGTGACGGCATTGCTGGCGGGCTTGTCGGCGATCTGCGACTTGGTGGCCGGCGTGGTGGCCATGCTGGGCGAGGCGCGGGTGGGCGAGTGTGGAGCGTGTGTGGGCTTGCGCGGCGGCAAGAGGTGCGTGTGTGTGGTGCGGCGAAGATTAGACGCGGCTACAGTAGACGGGCAGTGCGGGCAGCGGGTATGAGGGTGCTGCGGTGCGGGAAGAGGGCGAGAGCGAGGGAGATGCGGCAGAGTGCTGCACTATATAGCCCGCGCGCGCGCACGGCGCACCCGAGATGACCAAGAGAAGGCGCCGTCGAGGCCAAGCGCGGTGACGAGCGCAGCGCCGCACTCTGGCTGCTCCACACCTCTCTGCCGCCTGCCGCTCCGCCCCTTCGGCATGCCGCCCAGCCGCTGCATCGAGCATGGCGGCTCCGCAGCACGGGCCCGCGCGAAACTCTGCCTGGCAAGGGTCGTGCGCCGCGCAGCCGTCTCGTGCGCCTTGCTTCGGCGTCCGGGCAGCGAGCGAGCCGCGCCCATCGCGCTCGGCACAAGGGGCAGCAAGATCTGCACTCGCTGTGGCGCCCGGGCACCTCGGCAGCGTCCCCTCGGCGCCGCCTTGTCTTCGTCTGCGGGCGCTGAATGCAACACTCGCCGCACCGCCGCCCACGTCACGCCCCGAAGAAGCACGCCGGCGGCAGCGTCATCGTGCAGCGCCGCATCGAGCTGCGCGCGGCCGTGCGGCAGCGGGCTGCATCTGATCGGCGGCACGCACACAACGTCTACTTAGCGCCGCCGAGGCGGCTGCGGGCGAAGGCCTCGCTATGCTGCCGCTGCCGCCGCCGCCGTCGTCGTCGTCGGCGTGCTCCGCTGCGCATGACGCTCTCGCAAACGCCGCGCGAGGCGTGAGGGGATGAAGGCGCTACCCGCCGGCGGAGTGCGAGATCGACGTCGATCATCCCACCTGCAGCATGCAGCGAGCCCGCGCCGTACCCACTCCTCCGTCCCGTCGCCTCTCTGCACTGTGCGCGGTTGTCGTCGCTGCTCGGCTCGGAGTTGCACAAAGCAGCCGGCGCCACGCCGCAAGGCAATCTCGCTGCACTTCTCGGGCGCGCCGTGTGGGCCGCTGGCAGCCGTCCGTCGTTGCCGGTCCTGCCAGGTGCACGCTGAGGTCCAGGCCCGTGCCAATACGCAAGGCCAAGGCTGCACCAGGCAAAAAACCTCGCTCCTGAGCTTTCAACGGCTGGAATTGGGCAGGGATTGGGCGGCTCGACGGCGCCACAAACACCATGCGACCCCTGGCGCAAATTCGCATCGGCAAGGACGCCGCACTCGCACTGACCGCCGTGCGCTGCGGCCGTTGGCCGTCTTCTAGCGCCGGAGCGAAGCACAGGGGCCGCTGGCTATTTTGAGAGTGTCTAGACCTCGCTCGGCTGAACGCTGGCCGCCGGCGCCGATGCCGCCGCGTCATCCTTCGAGGTGACGTGCAGCGGCGGTGAGAACGCCGGGCGCCTGTGAACTCGACGAGCTCGGAGGGTCACGCGCCGTTTCCCAGGCCAGGGGCCGCCAAGACGTCCGCCAGACTCCGGCCGGTGGTTCTGCGATGCGGACAGCCCCCCTCCACTGAGTCTATCCGGCGTCGCCAGGGTACGGCCGTGGCGGCGAGGGTCCACGCCGCACGCCGGCTCGCACCCGCGACGGCGCAGTTCACCGGCTGAACGGCCGCAGGCACTCGCTGCCTCACCGTGCGAGCTGCCTGGCGAATCTGACTTAGGGCGTAGCATGCAAGCTGCGCCGACGCAGGCCTGCTCGCCTCTCGCTCGAACATGTGCTGCGAGTCTGTCGCCGCTTCCACGCATCCAATGCTGGTGACTGGTAGATTGCGCCTGCGCCACGCTGCCTCAGGCCGCCGTGGCCGAGGTCGTCGGACTCGCCGTGCCTGTCCGGGCATAGCTCGGGAAGTTGCGTCTGCAGCGCCGTGTCAGCGCCGCCCTCGAGCATACACTGCGCGCGACTCACCGGCTGAGCAGCAGTCCCTTGAGGCTGCGAATCTCCGCCTTGAGCACGCCCACGTCCAGCCGGCCCTCGCGCTCCGAGCCGCTCTCGCCGCTGCCCTTGGCGCTCGTCGCCGTCTGGGTGAAGCCGTAGCGTGGTGTGAGAGGCGTGGCCGCGGCGAGCGTCTGGGCATGCAGAAAGGCGTTGAACGAGCCAATCGACTTGCTGAGGTCTGGCACGCTGGCGCTCGTCGTGCCGCCGTGCTTGGCACGTCGCCGCCGCAGCGCAGATGGCCGTGGCGGCGCAAAGGGGTCGAACTCGAGCCCGTCGGACATCTCAGACGACTCCCAGTCGTCGGACGAGTCGTCGGCCACGGCCGTGACGGACGCGACGCGTGGGCTGGCCTTGGGCGCGGACGACGAGGCGGAGCTGCGCAGCGCAGCCGCCAGGCGCGTGAGAGACGAGGGAAAGTCGGGCGCAAGGTGGATTGGCTCGACGGCCGGCTCTGCGGGCGCCTCCTGCGCTTCGCCGTCCTCGGCCGTGCCAGAACCCGCCGCCGCGTCCTCCTTGCTCTCCTCCTTCTTCAGCGCGCCCTTGTTGCGCGCCGCCTCGGCCTTGGCCTCCTCGGGCCCGCGCTCGAGGTGCCCGCCCTTTTCGTCTGCAAACGAGACGCGCTTGGCGGCCTTCTCGTCGGCCTTGCCCTCGTCGAGCTCCTGTGCAGTAGCGCGTTCCGCAGCGTCAAGTGGCACGGCACATGGGGCGAGAGCCTTCGTGCCAAGCGAGTGCAACTGCGAGACGAGCGAGTCGTACAGCTCCACATGCCGCGTGAGCAATTGCGAGCGCGCCGTGAGCATGGCTGTGAGACGCGGCAGGAGGTAGGTCTGCGGCGCATGTGTCAGCCATTGCACAAGCACGCATGCCGAGCCGCACTCACGCGCCACAGGCCGACGGCGACGGCGCCGATGCCGCCGCTGAGCACGAGCAGGTAGCTGAGGCGCCGCACGAAGCCCAGCACGACGGCGTAGCGCTCGCGCGGCGTCAGCGGCGGCGGCGCGCCCGCCGAGCCGCGCGCGGAGTCGGCGTACAGGGCGAGGGGCGAGCGCGGATAGGAGCGCGGCGGCAGCGCCAGGCGGGCGGCGTCGGGCGGCGCATGCATCGGGTCGTCGAAGGCGCGCGCCGCCAGCTGCCACGCCGCCTCGTCCTCGGCCGGTGCCGCGGGTGCCTCGGATGAGGTTGCAGGCAGCGCAGGCCGCTCGGCGGCGGCGACGGCGGCGGCGATCTGCGCGTCGGAGAGGCCCTTGTCGCGCAGGAAGCGCTCCTTGTGCGGCTGCGCCGTGGCGGGGAGCGAGGTGAGGAAGCGCACGGCCTGCGCGTGCTGTGCGGCGTCGGGTGCGGCGGCGGTGCTGGCCTGCGACGAGGGCCCGGCGGCGCTGCTGCTGGAGGACGGGTTCTGCGGTGCCATGGCGGTGTGCAGCGAGGGACGGTGTGGAGCAGAGGCAAGTGCGGGGAGCGGCCGCGGGCGCTGCGCGCGCCGCGCGTGAGAGGCCGGCGCGGCACCGGCCCGGCAGCCGCGTGTCGGCTGCACGTGATGCGGGGCACAGGGGCGCCCCTGAACACACGCGGCGGCGAGGGGCCACCTGCCACCCGGCCTCGCCTTGCCTCCCAACCACCACCAGCGCCATCGTCCGGCGGGCGCACCACAACCTCACGACCTCACGACTGCTCTGTTCCGCTCACGACTACTCTGCTTCGCTCGAGACTCGCGTATCACGACCCCTCACGACTCTGCCCACGCCCACGCCCGCCCGCCAACGCCTCCACTGCCATGTCCAGCGTCCTCTTTGCACACCCCGCCGCACGCCTCGTCAAGCACATCCCGCCCGCCGGCGCCGTGCGCAAGAACGGTCATGTGCCGCGCGACCTGCTCGGCGCCGGCCCGCTCGCCGCCGCGCACGCCGAGACGCTCGGCCACGTGCTCGCCGCGCACGCCGGCGCGCTGCAGCTCTGCGCCGTGCCCGACCCGGCGCTACCCGGCGGCAGCACGCTCGTGCTGCAGCTCGCCGCACCGCCGCCGCCCGCCGGCGACGGCGAGCTCGTGCTGCCGTTCCGCCTGTTCAGCAGCAGCGACGCCGGCACGCCGCGCGCCACGTACGCCGGCCTCGGCGCCGGCAAGCACGGCGTCGACGGCGGCTCCTTCTGGTTCTTCGAGTCGCCCGAGGAGCCCGGCGCGCTGGATCGTCTGCGCTGGGAGGCAAGTGGCACGGGCAAGCGCGCCGTGTGGACGGTGTGGCTGCTCGGGTGAGTCCTCACGCGCGGCCGGCGTCACGATGGCGGCTGACACGCCCGGCAGTGCTCCGGCGCCGCTCATCACGAACCTGCAAGACCTGCTGGCGACGCATCCTGCGCCCGTAGCGCCGCTGCCGCCGTGGCTGCGCGACGGCGCAACGTGGCGCGACATGTACCTCGCGCTGCCGGCGCCCGCGGTGGCCGATGTGGCCGAGGAGCCGCTCGCCGAGGCTGAGGAGCAGACGAGCACGCCGCAAGCGGCAAAGAACGGCACGCTGATCTCGCTGCCGCCGCTGCCCGTGCCGTCTATCCTCGCGCCCACAATGCTCGAGATCCCTGATTCTGCGGCCTCGGTGAAAGACGAGGCCAGCGTCAGCGCCAGCACGCTGCGCATCCCTCGCCTGCCGCGCGCTGGCACGCCCGCGCCATCGAGCTTCCGGCATAGCCTCGTCATGCTCGACAATCTCACGGGCGATGTGGTCGGCGTGCTGGCCGAAGGTGTCAACCTCGCCGTGCCACCCTCCGCTTCCGCCCTGTCGCCAGCTGCGTCTGCGCTGAACGCTCCGCCGCGTCCTGTCGCTGCGCGTTCTGCGCCGCCGCCTCCACCGCCGCCCAAAGAGCCCAAGGAACTGCCTATTGAGCGAGCGGCCAGCATCTACATCGACTCGATGGCGCGCCGGCCTTCATCGCGCCCAGGCAGCATCCTAGGCGCCGACACGTTCGCGCCGCCACCAGTGCCCGTCTCGAAGGACCACCTGGCGCCGACGTCGCGCGAGTCCGGCACGAGTGTCTTCTTCAGCGCTGCCGAGTCTGCTGCGTCCGAGAGCGACGCCGAGAGCGACGCAGAAGAGGGCTTCGCGAAGCTGCGTCTCGACGGAGCGGAGGCCACGCGGCCGGACCTGCTGCGCGACCAGCGCCGCGAGGCAAGCGCCGCCAGCGACGCCAGCGGCTCGACAGTCGGCGGACCGGCGGTGCGACTCTGGTGCAAGGCGCGCGGCAAGAAGAGCAAGCCAGAGAAGGCGGCGCCAGAGCAGGTGCTGGCGGCGGTCCCTCGCCGGGAGCTGCAGGTCAGCGAAGCGAGCGTGCGGACCTCGAGAGCCGAGACGGCGGCCGAGGAGCTGTGCGCAAGCGCCGCTGCATCTTCCGACGAAGATGCAGCTCCCCAGCCGCTCATTCAGGCCCTAGTCCCTGCATTGCCGCACCGCGCCGAGGCGTCGCACATCCGCGGCGCCGAAGACGCACTCTGGCGCGCGGCGTTCGAGACGGAGTCCTTGCCGCTCGATGCGCCGTACACCCACCTTGCCGCTTCTTTCGGCACGACCAAGCAGCAGAAGCGCGAGGCGGTCGACGAAGGCATGGAGATGCTCTCTGCGTCCGAGGCCGCCGCGCGCCAGCGCGAGACTCGAGAAGTGGCGCCGATGATGCGGGGCGGAACGGTGCTGCTCGAGTTCCTCGCCGGCTCGCGCATTGGCGCGACGCTGCTCCCCGACTCCTCCGCGCCGGCTGAGAGCACGGCAGCCCCTGTCAAGGAGGAGAACGCCATGCGCGAAGGTGTCATGGCGTACGTGCCCGTTCTGCCGGCACACTTCCTGTGGTGGCTCGGCATCTCTCCCTCTGCCAACTCCCACGCACCCGCGGCAGCTCCGTCGCCCGCTGCGGAACCCAGCGCCGCACTCTCGTCGCTCGTCGCCCTCAGCCCAGACGTCTGGCGCCTGCTCGCGCTGCCCTCCTCGCTCAGCGACACGGTCATCACTGGCGCCTCGAGTGCGTGGAGCGGTCTCAGCTCCTACATGAGCCTCGCCTGGGGCTCGCTCCCCGCTCTGTCGCCCTCCGCCGCGTCCGATACAGACTCCAACGGACCGCTGACTCCGTCCGACGTCGACGCGGATGCCGTCGAGGTCGACTCTGAGGCATGGGAGTGGCAGGTGCCTGCGTTCCGCCCGGACTCGCTCGACTCGACGCCGCGCCCCGTGTACCGGCGCAAGCGCCCGCTGCCGTCCGCCATGGGCGGCTTTGCGGTGCGCGAGGCGTCGCTGGACGCGCAGCAGCGAGAGCAGCGCTACTCCATCGTGCACTACGACGGCGAGGGCATTGGTCGGCGGGCGGTGGTCAGCGTGCCAGGTGTCCGTGCCTAAGCCGCTGCAGTGCTCTCCTTCCCTGTCCCCGTGCCGTAGACCTGCTCCCAGCCCATTCTGCCGCTCCTTTTACGACCTCTGATGCACACTGCCACGCCTTACGCCCATACCCGAGCCGTCCAGAATCTTGATTCACTAGCGAACTCTATGAGATAAGCTCTATGGGCAGCGTCGGGCGGCGCGAGTCGCAACAGCTTCGGCACTCTAGCCCTGCACGCTGGCAAAGCCGTCGCCGCTCGGGCACCTCTTGCCCTCGACGCCGTCGGCCGAGCGCATGTAGCACACCATGGCGTCGCGGCACGCCTGGCTGGCACACTGGCGCGCACGCGGCGAGTTGCGGCCCTGGCGCTCGCGGAAGGTGTCGACGAGCGCCGGCCGCGCCCACATCTCGTCCGTCAGCGCCGCCCAGAAGGTGGCGTTGAGCGGTGCAGAGGCCGGCCACTGGCCCGAAGCGAGCGGCACCTGGCCGCTGTAGTTGCCCGCCGCCGCGGAGGCGCTGAAGTTTGAGTATGCCTCGCGTGCCGAGTAGAGGTGGCGCCAGACGGGCCCGTGGTCGGTGCCCGGGAGCTCGGGGAAGGAGGAGACGTCGGCGTAGTACTGGCGGGCGTGCGCGTGAGCAAGCGTGCAGGCCATTCATGCTCAAGTCTCACCTCGTCGTAGTCGTGCACCTCCCACGTGCCCTCAGTGACAGTGTAGATGCGGAAGGCGCTGTTCACGTTGCTGCCGGGCGTGATGCTCGGCGCCATAAATGCCACGGCCTGCGCCTCGTGCGCCGGCGCCAGGGCCGTTGCATTCGACGTGGAATTGGCGGCCTGCGGGAAGAACACGCTGAATTGGTCCTCGTGCGTGTGGCCAAAGAAGATGTGCGCAATTGTCTTGGGCGAGAAGTGAGCGACAATGTGGTGGAAGAGCGTCGTCGGGTTGTCAAGACCGTTGCTACGTTCCTTGCATGTCAGCCGCACTCGCAGCAAGGGCCCCTGTGCAGACTCACCTGCCGTCCCAGCCGGTGAGCACGTGGCCCACGATCCACACACGCTCTCCGCGCTTCTCGGCGCCTTCGAGCTCGTGCGTGAGCCACTTGAGGTTGCCGCTGATGTCTGGCGCGCTCGAGTTGAGGTAGTTGTACACGTTGCCGCGGTACCAGAAGTCGGTGTTGAGCACCACGACGCGCAGGCCCTGGCGCGGCGACACGGAGAAGCCGCCGTAGTGGCGGCCGACCTGCTGCGCCTCGGCGTGCGTGAACCAGCCCTCGGCGACGAAGAGGCGGCGCAGGTTGAGCCAGTCGTAGGAGAACTGGCCGCGCGTGTCGTCGGGCAGGGAGGAGGGCGAGGCAAAGTCGGACGGCGCCGTGTCATGGTTGCCGATGGCCGAGAAGACGGGGCCAGAGCCGAGGAGCCGCTTGAAGACGTCGTACATGGCCTGCTGCGTGTAGCGCACGAGCTGATGCAGCGTCAGCGTTGAGCAGCGCCTACTCATGCATGCAGGCGGCTCACCTCGCGCGAGATGTGCCAGACGGCGTCGTGCGTGACCATGTCGCCGGTGTAGAGGCTCATGTCCACGGCCTTGCCGTTGACGTGCTTGACGGCCTCGAGCGCCGAGAGCGCGAGGGACCACGGCGAGTCGCACCTGGGAGGCGCCGTCAGCGGCAGTGGACGCGGCAGGCCGCAACAGCACCCACTTGTAGTTGCCCCAGTACACGGCCGTCTCGGAGACATTGGCCGCCGGCAGCGGCTGTTCGCGCGAGAGCGGCGGCGCGGCGGCGACGCTGCTGTTGAAGCTCTCGGCGCGGCAGCACTGGCCGCTGGTGCAGCGCGCCTCGGCGCCGACGAGGAAGCGCGGGTCGACGTGAATGTCCGAGAAGTGCAGCACACGCAGCGTCTTGCCGGGCGTGGCGGGCGAGCGCGGCGCCAGCTGCCGGCGCGTGAGGGCCGCGCGCTTCGAGGCGCCGCCGAACCAGGCGTCGAGGAAGGCGGCGTCAAAGACTCGCGGCGCCGGCAGCGGGCAGGCGCCCTTGGCGACGTAGTGGCACAGGTAGCATCCGTCGGCAGACGCCGACGTGAGGTTGGCGTAGCTCAGCACCTGCGTGTAGGACGCGCCAAGCGCCGCCGGGGCGTACGTGCGCCGGCACACGTCGGACAGCGCCAGGCCCGACGCCGTGCCGAGGAAGGCGAAGCGCTCGCACAGCGTCTGCAGCACGCCGGGCACGTGGTGCGGCGCCGAGCGAGCCAGCGTCTGGCCGAGCGCCAGCGCCGAGAGGCACGTCGCGCAGCTGTCGTTGCCCGTGTTGGCACGGATGAGCGACGTGAGGTTCGCGAGCACCGTCTCGGTCAGGTTCGCTGCCGGCGCCGACGAGGGGCGCGGAAAGACGGCGTCGCGCGACGGCGCGCCCTGCAGCGGGCATCAGCAGCGGTGCAGCATGCGTCGCGCCCTCGTCGACTCACCGTAATCTGCGCCGTGGCGAGCGCATCGCCGAACACGCGCGTGTGCGCCACGTCCGACACGGCGGGCCGCGGCACAGCCGTCATGTGTGCATCGGCAGGCGACAGGAAGTAGCTCTGCCACAGGCTCGTGGGGAAGGCCGACGGCGCCGCATAGTCGACGCTCTGGGGCGGCGCGACGGGCGAGGCGCGCGCCAGGAGCAGCCAGGCGAGCAGCGGGAGGAGCAGCAGCGGCGGGAGCATGGCGAGCAGCAGGCGGCGCTGGCGGTGCGGGTGCGGGCGTGAGGAGGGAGCAGCAGCGGCGACTGGGAGGAGCGCCGCCGCCTCGTCGTCGTCGCCCTCTTGAGCGGCGCGAGATGCGGCGGCCATCACCGGCGTGGTGAGGGAGCGGCAGCGCGATGACAGGGGCGGAGCAGCCGCGCGGCACCGCCGGCAAGTGACGCAGCCGCTGTGCCGCAGCCGCACACGACAGCGGCGAGCAAGACACCAGGAACGGCGAATAAGCTAGGCACGCGGCGAGCGAGGAGGGGCGAGAGGGAGGAAGGACCCGAGGCGGCATCGGCGCCGAGCGCACGTGGGCCGCCGGCTCGCTCCTCCTTAGCGCCGGCCATCTCGGCGCCCCAGGGGAGCGGCTCCGGGACTCGGGCACGGCGGTGTGGGGACGGCGATGTGGAGGCGCTCGTGTTTCGTGCCTGCCTCGAGGCCTTGGCTTGGCGGTGCTGCGCATCCTCGTCTGCTCCTCATCCACCACGGCAGTCCTTGCACTGCCCGTCCTGCGCTGCACCCTCGCATCGCCAGCCTCTGGCCACAGTACTCGCGCCGCCATGCGCCCGCCGCGCAGCCTCCCGCCGCTCACGCTCTTCCACGACCCCGCCTCGCCGCTCTCGCGCTCGCTGCTGGCGCGCCTGCCCGCGCTGCTCAGCCCGGCGTCGTCGGCCGCGCAGTCGCAGGCGCGCCTCGGGCCCGGCGAGGCGTACCTGCAGCGCGCGCGCGACGGCGAGACGCCGCTCGCCGAGCTCGAGGTGCGCAGCAAGCGCACCGAGCCGCCGACGGAGACGCAGTGGCGCCTGTGCGTGGCGCGTGTGGCGCGCATGTATGCGCAGCAGTGCTGACACCTTGCCGCAGCATCCGCCAGTACGCCTCGCAGGCCAGCAGCGCTGCGCCGCTTGCCGTCAGCGAGCACCTCGCTGCGCAGCATGAGGCAGCCGCCGAGGCGCCGCCCGCCGCGGCCGGCGACGGCGACACGCACAAGGCCGTGCAGGGCTCGCCCGCCAGCGAGCCCGACGGTAAGACGCGCGCGCGCCTCCTGAACGCCAAGCGCGAGCACGCCGAGCGCACCGCCATGGCCGCCAAGGGCGCAGAGCAGGCGCCGGCTGAGCAGCAGGCTGACGATGCCACGGCCGCCGCCGCCGCCGCCGAGGAGCTGCCGATCCGCCTGCGCGACGGCCCGCTGCTCGTGCACTGGGACGCCGGCCTCGTCGCCACCGACGAGCGCGGCGTCGAGCAGATCCTGCGCACGCTCGAGGGCGGCGGCCAGGCGCCGGCGCAGGCCAGCTGGTGTGTTGTTGCGTAGCCACGTCTGGCGTCAGTCAGCGCCGCCTAGGTCGTCCTCCGTCACCTGTCCGCATCGCCCAATGGTCATCCGTCACCTCTGTCAGCGCTTGCTTGCGGTCGTGATGGCGTGTGCGCTGGCCGGACGTCTGGTCAGCAGAGACTCACATTTCCCGCCTAGCCGTAGAGTCTAGCAGCCCTGAGGGGCATTACAGGCGATGCGCGTGCTCCACACCGTGTCGTCGGAGCGACTGCGTGCGCACTAGACTGCACTGACGCCTCCCAGTAGCGACGCAGATGCCAGAGCCGTGATGCACATTGCTGCGTCAGCAGCAGAGCACCCTGCCTGGAATAGTGCGCACAACTATTCACCAGCACGGCCAGCCCAACGCCGAGCGCTGTGCGGCCGAGTCATGGCCGCGGGGTGTGCGCGCCGCGCGGCGCGCTCGAGTCAGCGGCGGAATCTCGAACGCGCCGCGCCGCGGGCCGATGAGGCGTGGTGCAGGCAGCTTGATGCCCCGCGCCTCCACCTTCTCAACCCCATCCACACCGCACGCCCAGCATGGCCTCGCTGCTCGACACGGACCTGTACAAGCTGACGATGCAGGCGGCCGTGCTGCGTCACTTTCCCGACGCACACGTCGCCTACCGCTTCACCGACCGCGGCGCACTGCGCTTCCCGCCCGCGGCGCGCCAGGCGCTGCAGGCGGCCATCGCGCGCCTGGCGCAGCTGGCACTCAGCGACGCCGAGGCGCAGTGGCTGCGGCAGCAGTGCCCCTTTCTGCCCGCCAGCTACGTCGACTTTCTGCGCTCGTTCCGCTTCCGGCCCGCCGAGCAGGTGCGCCTCGACACCGACGCCGAGGGCAAGCTCAGCGTGCAGGTCATGGGCCTCTGGCGCGAGGTCATCCTGTACGAGGTGCCGCTCATGGCCGCCATCTGCGAGGTGTAGTGAGTGCACGGCGGCAGACGCTGCGTGGTGGCGTTGGTAGCTGTGTAGGGCAGGGCGTGGAGAGCGGCGCGGCAGGTGACGTTGGGCGGCTGTCTCGGCGGCGGACTCCCAGACTGACGGCTGCACCTGCACAGCTACACGCATGTGGACACGCAGTGGGACATGCGCGGACAACGAGGTAAGCTGCTGCGCTCATTGATGGTCAAAGCTGGCGGGCCGAGAGATGGCGCGCACCCCAAGGAAGGACCAGCTGGTGTGATGTGCTCAAATCACTCCAGCGCGAGCAAGAACAGCGGAACTACAGGCTCATGCCCTTGACGCAGCACGGGCGGAGCAGAAGGCTCGCACGCTGGCAGAAGCGGGCATTCGCTTCTCAGAGTTTGGCAGTGAGTGCACGCCTCGCCGCTCAGCACTGCTGCATGCTTATCGATGCGCCAGCTCGCCGTCGCCGCTCCTACGCAACGCACGTCGCCGTGCTCGAGGGCCTGATCCGCGGCGCAGCCGCAGGGCCAGGCGCGCTGATGGGCACCTCCAATGTCCACCTCGCACGGCTCTACAACCTTGTGCCCATCGGCACCGTCGCACACGAGTGGCCGATGGCCGTCGCTGCGCTGCGCGGCTACGACGGCGCAAACGTGACGGCGCTGCGCCTGTGGGAGCAGCTGTTCGCGCCGCCAGCCTTTGAGGCACAGTCGCCGGCGCACGACCTGCGTATCGCCCTCACGGACACGTTCAGCTCCGAGGTCTTCTTCCGCGACCTGATGGGCAGCGAGGAGGGCAAGCAGATCGCACGCAGCTGGCGTGGGTTGCGCCAGGACTCGTGAGTGGCTCTCGCCGTCGCCGCAGCCGCTTTGATCGTTGACGCGCTGCGAAGCGGCGACCCGGCGCACTTTGTGCGGCGCGCAAAAGAGGTGTACAATGCGCTGGGCGTCGACTCACGGCAGAAGTTCGTCGTCTTCTCCGACGGCTTGAACGTCGCGCGCTGCCTCGAGCTGCAGAAGGTGGCGCAGGATGTTGACATCGGCGCGAGCTTCGGTGCGTGCAGTCGCGTCGAGGCGCCCAATCCGCTCGCTCACGCTGGTCACAGGCATCGGCACGTCGCTTACAAACGACTTCGCCGCTGTCTCCTCGCCATCGCCCGAGGCTGACGTGGACTCGCTGGCGGGCCAAGACGACTCGGCCCCGCGGTCAAAGGCGCTCAACATCGTGCTCAAGCTGCACTCCATCGAGGGCCGCGCGTGCGTCAAGATCTCCGACGAGCTGTCGAAGAACTCGGGCGACCCGAGCGAGGTCGCGTGAGTGTGGCGTGCGCCCGACACGTGGAGCTGAGCTGACGCGCGGAGACCACAGAGCGGTGAAGCGGCGCTTCGGCATTGACGTGGCTGCCGATGCGACCGAGGACGCCTAGTGGGGCAGCCGGAGATGTGACAGATGCGATTGCTGCGTTGAGACTGTGACGTAGTGCGATGGAAGCTGGTGTAGGGTATCACGTGTGGAGAGATGTGGGAGAGGCGGGATCGAGGGGTCCGCAGGGAGGACGGACGAGGAGTAGAGAGAGGAGCCGGGAGCGCTTGGCGCTAGACGCGCCGGCGAGGTCCTAGCACCTGCACGCCCTGGATGGCGCGCTGCCCTAGCGCCCGCTCTTCTGCGCGCCAGCGCTCTGCCTCCTCCGGCAAGGGGAGCTTACGCGGCGAGGCCTGCTTGGCGCGCGTGTGGTCGCTCGTGGCAGCATCCGGCGGTGACGAGCCCGGGACCGCCGCGGCCTGCTCCGCGAGCCATGCGGCTGTGAAGTCGGGCGGTCCGCCGGGGACGCTCTGGGGCACTGGCAGCGACGTGTGCTTGCGGAACGCAGTGACGCGCTCCGGAAGATGCTGCGCACTTGCCCGCACTGGCTGAGGCTCGGGCGCCTTGGCTGCCGCGGCCGGCGTTGCCTGCGTCACCTGGGCACCGCTTCGCGCGAGCAAGCGTGCTTCGTCGATCGCTGCCTGCGCGTTCATGTCGGCGCCGTAGATGGTGCGCGAGCGTTTCGTGGCCCGCGAGCCCTCGGCCTCGGCGTCGAGCGATGCGATGAGCGCAGACGCACGAGCTGAGGCGGCGGCTGGATCGAGGCGTGCTCGTGGCGCCTGAGCTGCAGGCTCTCGCCGGGTCTTGGTGGCCATCGCGGCGGGAGACTCGGTCGCCGGCGTTCTAGGCTTGCTCGCCGCATTCGGCCGCGCAGGCGCCAGTGCCTTGCGTGCCTGCGGCAGACGCACCTTGTCGCTCGGCGCCAGCTGTGCAGTGGCAGCAGCGAGGGCCTCCTGCCGTCTACGCTTCGCGGCCCTCTGCGCATCTTCAGCCGTCTCCTCCTGGCGCGAGGTTTCGTACACCAGCCGCGCCGGCTTCGCAGGCCGCCGCACACTTGAAGCGGCGGGTGCCTGCGCCTGCTCGCTCAGAGGTCTCGCCTGCACTTGCGCCGGCCTGGCGGCACGCCGAGCACCCAGTCCGCCGGGCCTCGGGAACTCGCTGTCGGAGAGCTCCGCTGCGAGGTCGCGCTTGCTGTACACCAGGCCTGGCAGCGCTTGCGACGACGGCGGCGAATCGCTGATTACATTGCTGAAGCCAGAGAAGCGCGATTCGTCGTCGAGAATCGGACTGCTGCTGCGCAGCGAGTGCTGCAGGGCGACCGGCGACTCCCTGGGCTTGGCCGACTGCGACGCGGCCGCGTTCTTCTTGAGCTTCTCGACGCGCGACTTGAGCGCGGCGTTCTCGCGCTCGAGCTGCTGCTGCTCCTCTGCGTGCTTCTTCGTCATGCGCTCGAGGCGCGCCTGCATGACGCGCATCTGCTCGGCGAGCAGGTTGTTCTTGGCAAGCACGGCGTCCTTGTCCTTCTCGGCGTGCTCTGCAGTGCGGAGCGCCTCGGTGCGCTCCTTGGAAATGTCCGTCACAATCTGCTCTGCCTCATTGAGCTTCATGTTGGCCGCGGCGAGCATCCGGACCCGCTCGCTCTGCACCGAGTTCATCAGGTCCTTGACGCGTTCATGGTCTCGCGCGACGGCCTCGCGTTTGGCGTCCAGCTCCTTGTTCTGCTCGAGCCGCTGCTTCTCGTCCTTCTTGCGCTGCGCGTCTGCCGAGAGGACACGCGTCTCGAGTGCCTCTTCCCGCGCCTGCAGAGCGGTCTTCTTCTTCATGAGTTCGTGCCGGTCCCGCGCGAGGCCGTCGTGCGCATTGGAGAGGCCGTTGTTGGCGTCTATGAGCTCCTGCTCGCGCTCCTTGGCTCGCACAATCGCGGAGTCGAGCTCCTTGGCCACGCGCGACAGAGCAGTCAAGGCACGCTGCAATGCGTGTCAGCGACAGCATAGGCCCCGTAACGCAGCACGCTTACCTGCATCTTTGGGCGAGCCTCCTCGGTCTGGTCCCAGTTGCCCAGCACCTCCACCATCTCCTCGCCCGCGCGCGTGACGACGTTGAGGCGGATGCCGTGCACGCCCATCACAAACGCATTCGCCGAGTGGCGAAAGTCGAGCAGCTCGCTCAGCAGGTCCTCCTGCAGCTCGTGCGGCACGATGCTGTCGAAGGCGCTCGTGCCGCCATCCGCATCGCGCAGTGCGCCTAGGCCGCGCACCGCCTGCTCGCGGCGCTGCCGCCGCAGCGCCAGATAGCCGTCGACGTCGTCGAGCGAGTCGGGGTACAGGGCAATGATGCCCAACGGGCACTCCGTCTTGCACACGCCGCAGCGCTGGCGCGCCTCGCGCTGCGCGAACCACTGCTCCACGCACATGCGGTGGAAGAGGTGCCCTGCCAGGCGAAGGTGTCAGGACGTGGAGTGCAGGCGGCGCAGCGATTGCTGAACACATGCGCACGAGCTCGTGCAGGGCACTGGTCGACGGCGCAGTGCGGCGCTACATCCAAGCTGACACTAGTACTCACCGCATTGCAGCGCGACGGGCTGCTGGTCGCGCTCGCTGCCATAGTCGTCGAGGCAGGTGCTGCACGGCATGCCGCCGAGCCGCCTGCTGCCTCGCGGCGGGCCTCACGCGCCGAGCTGCGCCGGCCGGGGCTGTGCGCGTGGCCGCTAGCGATGCGGCACGCAGGTAAGGCAGCGCAGATGGCGCAGCTCTCGTGGCGCACAGAGGCGACGGCGGAGTGAGAGAGGGGAGCTGGTGGTCGGGAGGCAAGCTCGGCGGCGGGCAGCGCGCGTGTTGGGCCGGCACGCGTCGCGCTTTAGGCGGCACCTAACAGCCGTGGGAGCAGACGACGGGCGCTGCTCGCCCTCCTCTGCCCTTCGCGCCCGTTAGTGCACCGTACAGCTACATCTCTCTCAGTCTGGGCACATCGGACTTGCCAACGGGCTGTACTCATGAACTATGGGCGCTCACTTCATGCGTTCTAGACGCTACAGAGGAGTGCAGCTGTGGTCGGACTCCTCGGAGGCGGCAGTCGATGGCGCGTGCTGCGCGCACTCTCGCCGGCCGCGTGGTGCGGCTCGCGATGACGAGGTCGTATGCGAGCCTCTGCTGCTCAGATATGCCACTCAAGAAGGCTCTGTCTGATGATCATCTGCGTTGACTAATGCCTTGCGCCTGACTCGCCGGTAAGGATTCGACTGACACGCCCAACCTCCACGAGCAAGTGCGACGAGCATCCACCCATCTCTTCACACACGCTGGAGACGATCGCATCGATTTCAGGGCTTTGAGTCAGGAGTCTCATCTCGCCGGCGGGATGATGCTCATTCAGCTGGTTCTTGTTCATGATCGGAAGGAGGACGGAGCGTCTGAGGCAGCGACTGGTCGCGGTGGGTACGAGGTTTTGGGGCGAGTCTGTCCAGACAGTTCGGACAGCTCGGTGACTAGGTCGAGAGCGGGAGCGGACCGCGCTGGGCTGGCGCTTGCTGCGGTGCACGTGCTCGCGCGTCCGCCTCTGCCTTCGCTAGGATTTGGACGTAGTCGAAGAGGGCGACGCGCAGCCGTTCCGCTCCTTTGCGTAGAGGCATGATCTGCGTGACTTGCAGCGCCGTGACTCCGAACGGCGCAGGCTTGCGCTCCACGTAAGCGAGCTTGACCCGCAGATCCTTCACGTCTTGGCAGATGTCGTGCCATTGCTTCATGCTCGGCAGGCGTTGCGACGGACGAATCTTCTCGTTCTCCTCCTTGTCTTGCATGTCATGCAGGACTTTGTAAACGTCCTCCCAGTCTTGCTTGAAGTGCTGGAAGCAGTTCCATCGCTGCGCCCTCGAAAGGCGCTGAGAGCGCTGATGAACTCGAGGAGGCGCGCGCTTTTGCACGCGCTTTACGTTGGCCTCACGTGCTTCATCTGGTGCAAGGCAATCAGACGGTCTGGCTCCAGAATGTGCTGAGCCTGTGTTGAGCTCACCGGAGTCGTCAGAAGACGAGGCCTTTCGGCCAGAGCGAGCGGCCGGCATGTTCAAGGGTGACTTGTAGCTGACACGGTGATGGAGCTGACCTCGAGGCGCTCAGGCGCTCATGCCTTTCTTATATCTTGAGCCACAAAGGGCACGCGGGGGGACGCGGACGGACGCCAGCTCCTCTGCTTGCAGGCTGCAGGAAGCCAGACGCCTGCCGTGATTCATACGCTCTGGGCTCAGAGAGCCTCTGAGCCGCACTTCCGGGATGCAAACGTGCAAGGCAATTGACAATTGGCAACAAATTGGGCCCCACACACTAGCGAACTGGCGCTACGGAGCCTATATCAGCGGTTCTAGCGCTGAAGCCAGCAGGGGCATCGAGGGGCGCAGCAGAAGGACACTTCACCCCCGGCTTGTGGGGAGCAGGCAGCGCAAAGCGCATGATCCTGTGCGCTCGTGCATCGCTAGGGGCTGATGCGGCGCTAACGAGCAGCTTGCCCTCCGCAAGCACGTCCCTCTGCCCCTTCTTGACGTGCCCTTCAGTCGGCTTCGAAGTCCAAGCATCCGGCCTTGTTCCCTTCTCTGCAGTGTCAGAAGCCTCGAGTCGACTGCGCGCAACCATGCGAGCTCTGCTCTTGCAAGCCTGCGAGCTCTGCGCTGTTCCGGAGCGAGCGAGGAGGATGAACAAGAAGCGTTTGCAGCAGCGAAAGACGACCTCGGCGACCATGCCGCAGCGCCTCCATACCTGCCCGAGAGACATGGCCAGAGGCTAGCCTTCGTGAAAGAGCGAGAAGATGAGGGCTGCCAGCAAATGCACACTTCCCTCGCGGCCCGTTCGCAATCTGTGTCAGGCACTCAAGATCGCCAGTCGTTCTTTGAGAAGGCTCCGGATGGGGTGCTCCTGGAGAGCAGGTCTTCAATCCAAAGACCTGGCGACACTCGTGCGAGACGCCTTACAGCTCGCGCGAGACGCCGTCCCGCGACTGCAGTCCACGGCTCGCCTATCTGCGACTCGCGCCACGCTGCGGACCCTCGTGCCAGACCCGCTCCTTGACGCATCGCGATCGCTCACAGCAGCAGCAGTTAGGCCCTTTATTGATCCGTCTAAGTGACCAGCGCCGGGCGTTCTAGTGCGCACGTGCGCGCAGCATCTACTCGAGGATCTTCTTCTCGAGCACCTTGCCGGCGTCGTCGAGCTTGTAGACGATCGGCACGCCCGTGGCGAGCTCCGTGGCGACGATCTGCTCGCCGGTCAGGTTCTCGAGCTGCATAATCATGGCGCGCAGCGAGTTGCCGTGGCTGGAGGCAGGAAATGCTCGTCAGCAGCGCGCGGGCCGCTCGCAGGCCGCTGCGACTCACGCGGCGATCAGCACGTTCTTGCCCTCGAGCAGGAGCGGGCGGATGTTGGCCTCCCAGTAGGGCAGCACACGCTTGGCCGTCAGCTCGAGCGACTCTCCGCCCGGCGGCGGCACGTCGTACGAGCGGCGCCAGATGTGGACCTGAGCGGCATGCAGCGGTCAGACTTGCGCCGCCTCTCTGGACGCTGTCGTCCACACGCACCTGGTCCTCGCCGAACTTCTTGCGCGCATCGTCCTTGTTGAGGCCGGTGAGCTCGCCGTAGTCGCGCTCGTTGAGCGCCTGGTCGCGCGTGACGGAGATGTCCTCCTGGCCGATCTCCTTGAGGATGATGGCGAGCGTGTTCTGCGCACGCGAGAGGGCCGAGGTGAAGGCGACGCTGCGGGCGTGGTGTGAGCAGGGAGAGTATGGCCAAGCTCGGCAGAGCGGCACCGCCGGAGGGACAGGATCGACCGAGCAGCGAGCATGATTCTGAGTGACAGCACTCCCGTGCTTCCAGCATGGCACAGCCCAGGCCTACACCGCTCCACCCGCCCACCCTATCTCTGCGCCAAGCCGCGCCCACTCACTCGAAGTTCGTCTGTGCACACGCGCGTCAGCACCGCATCGCCAGCACTACCCGCAAGCCACTCACGTAGCCGGCCTTCTTGAGCTCCTGCGCGCCCTTGAGGGCCTCCTGCTTGCCGAGGTCGGTGAGGGCGGGGTCCTTCCAGCCGGTGAAGAGGTTGAGCTTGTTCCACTCGGACTGGCCGTGGCGCGTGAGGACGAGAGTTCCTGCGGTGGTGTGAGTGTGCGGCGTGCAGCAGTGCCGCTGCAGCAGCACGCACCGGTCGGCATGGTGGGCTGAGGATGTGGTGGTGTGGAGAGAAGCGAGGGAGCGAGGGCGCTGTGCTTCGTGCCTGTTCCCTGCGTTGGGGCAGGCGCCAGGCCGCCAACACTGCTCCCGTGCCCGGCCGCCGCGCCGCTGCGTGCGCGTGCGTCCGTGCGTCGGCGCAGGTCGGGCGAACTCGCTTGGCTGGTGCCTGGCGGGCGCGTCACGTGCGCCGCCGTGCGTAGTGAGGCGGTGCGACTTTTGCCTGGCGCGGCCTCGAGCCGGCTGCTGCTCCTCCTCATCCACCCCACACTCCCTCAGCCATGCCCGCGCCAGACCTCGTCGGCTCGCTGCTCTTCTGCGCCGCGTGCGGCTCGCTGCTCGACCTGCCGTCGGATTCGGACGTCATCGTGTGCGCGCCGTGCGGCGCCTCGGCGTCGGCAGCCGTGTACGACGGGCTCGCCATCGTCACTGCCTCGGCGCCGTCGGCCTTTCCCTCGGCGCTGCGCCAGAAGCGCACGCTCGTGCACTCGGCGCAGTCGGCCAGCGACCCCGCCGCGCGCCCGCAGGAGGCGACGATCAAGGAAAAGTGCCCCGGCTGCGGGCACGACGAGATGAACTTCCACACGCTGCAGCTGCGCAGCGCCGACGAGGGCACCACCGTCTTCTACACGTGCCCCAAGTGCGGCTACAAATTCAGCCAGTGAGTGGACGTGGCGCGGGCTGCATGGAGGTGGCTGGCACAGAGGGTCGGCTGCACAGAGGAGGCACTGCGATGCTGCGCTGCCAGGTCGCGTGTGTCGTGCGACCCGCGATGCGCGGCGGACTGCGACGACTTCGCTCGGCGTGCGGCTGACACTTTGCTCGTTCAGAAACAACTGAGCAGCTCGCCCATCGCTCCTCGCTCGTCACTCGTCGCTATCGCTCATCATCTTCGGCGGCGCTGGATCGCCGAGCCGTCGCAATATACCCTGTCTCACCACTAGCAGCGCGTCGCGCGAGAGCATCGGACCGATAAGCTTCGACAGTCTGGTTGGGTAGGTACACATCAAGAAAGAGAGAGGGGCTCCGAAAGGTGGAGGCAGGGACAGGTCACGAGGTGGAGTCCGATAGCGTGCTGCCCGTCACGCTCTTGGCGTAGCGCGCGGCAGCCGACGTGGTCGATGGAACAAGGGACACCGGGCGCTGCGGCGGCGGCGAAGCGCCCGGAATGCTGTGGAGGCGCTTGGGTCAGTCGCAGCACATAGCGCTCTCGGACTGGCTCATCACGCACTTCTCAAAGCTGCCGATGTGGCGGATCGCGCGGTGCGTCGGCGCGCTGGCCGCGACAGACGCGGCGCGCGAGCCCGACTCATCGACGAGCTCGCCGAGCGGGCGAGTCGGCGGCGGCGCAAGCGTCTTGGTCGTGGCGGTGCCCGGCGACTGGTGCGTCTCGACTGCGGGTGGAGCTTCGCCGCGCCCGTCAAGGCTTTCGCTCCGAAGCAGCGACTCCGCTTGCGCATCCTTGGCCGGCTCCTGCGGCTTGGCGCCCTTCGAGCCGCCGCGGCGACGTGGGCTGGCGGCATCGGTAAAGGCACGCACGTCCGTCAAGAGCAGCGCCAGGCGCTCGTCGTCCGCCTTGGTCCCCTTGCTCGGCGGCGAGAAGCCTCGGCGCGGCTGCGACTGGCTGGTGCTGTCCGCAGAGCCCTGGTTGGAATCGTTGGTCTCGGACGCGCCTGACGTCGGAGAGGCAGCGCTGAGTGCGGCGATGTGGCGGCGCTGCAGTTCGAGCATGGCATGACAGCGGCGCAGCAGGCGGCAGGCAGTGACTTGCTGGGCACGTGCTTCGCTCTCGGCCAGCAGCGTCTTCTCGCGTGCCGCTTGCAGCGCCGCGGTCAGCTCCGACGTCGAGGCGTCGTGCGACTGCTGCGACGAGCGATGTGCACCGGCCTGTGCCGACTCGTTCGACGCTGCAAGAACGGCCGAGAGACGGTGTTGCTGCGCATGCTGCGCCGCTGGCTTGGGCGGAACTCTCGTTGCGCCTCCGTTCGTTATGCGCATCGCAAGCGTCGACGAATGCTTGATGGGCTCGAGGCTGGACACGGGCGGCGCAGTCGCCAAGGCCTGTGCCACTGCCGCAGCGTCGGGCAGGCTGCTGCTGCGTCGCGCCACAAAGACCGCGTGCTTCGGCACGCCGCGCGCAAGCACGCTCTGCTCGGGCAGCGGCGAAGGTGCCTCGATGCGCCGCTCGTCCTCGTCCTTGCGTGGCTCGGACGGAGATGGCCCGCGCGAGGGCGTGTCGGGCGCGCCATCGACGCTCGGCGTAAGCATCGGCGGCAGCCCGCTCGGCGACGGCGCCAAGTCGAGCGCCGGCAGTGGACCTTCCTTGTGCCAAGGTCCGACGGCGCCGGCGGGCATCAGCCGCATCGACTGGCGCTTGCGCTCCTCCCAGCGTTTGCTGCTGTTTGCGGAGAGCGGCCTTGCGCTGCCGGGCCTCGTCCTCGCCGCGGCTTCGACGCGCTTGAGCTCGCTCACGAGCTCGGCGTGCTCCTCTTCGGTCAGCCACGAGGAGCTTGCGCGCTTGGACGACCGCTGGGCGGGCGTCGAGCCCATGATCACCGCCATGTCATCGTACATGAGGCTCGCGCGCTTGCTCGTCATGCTGGAACGGCTCTCGGAAGTGGGCGCCGTGTCCGACATGCCGCTGCCAAACGTGCGGTCCGACGTCGGCGGCGCCCACGGCGACGAGCCGAAGCGGCGTGTCGCGGCTCGAGGCACGCCTGCTTCGCCCTCGCCAGGTGCGAGCGGCGCAGAGTGCGTGCTTGCTACCGGCCGCGGCGAGTGGTTCGACGGCGAACGAGGCGGCGCGGGCACGAGTCCGAAGCCTGCGGGTACATGTCCGCTCGCCAGCAGCAGCGAGCTGTCGACTGGACGAGCGGGCTGAGCTGGAGCTCTTGCTTTGGCGCTGCTCGCTTCGCTGCCGCAGAGCTGGTCGCGCGACAGGGGCGGCGTATGAGGCAGGCCGTTCGGTGCGTCTGCGCCGTACACCAGACCATCGCGCTTCGGGAGCGAGGCTGACGGCTCGTCAGAGACGCCCGTGGCGCCCGACGACGTGCGCTCGCGTCTGCGCGCCGTCAGCCCTCCTGCACGGCCAAAGTCGGACGGCGCAAAGGTGCGAGCAGCAATAGCGACTGGCAGCGCCATGACCTCCTCGCGCTCCAGATGTGCTTCACGAGGAGACAGGTCGGGCTGCGCCTGATGCGGCGGCGCGTATGCCTGCCGCTGCGGCAGCGGCACCTCTTCGGACTCTCCGCTTCCCATACGGCGCTTTGCCGCTCCATTTGAGCGTCGAGCGGCATCCGGACCTTCGCGCAGCAGCTGCAGCAGGTCTGCGACGGGAGGCGCACCATTGTACGTCGCTGAGCGCGGGCGGCCAGGCTTGGTCACTGGACAAGTGGCCGAGAGCGAGCTGACCGAGGGCGTGATGCTGCTCGAGCCCGACGCCTTGTGGCGCAGGATGCCTGGCGATGTCTTGAGCGAGCCTGTCGTCGGCGAGCCAGACAGGCTGCCCGTCGTCAGGTACGAGCGGCCGTTTGGCAGCACCTGAGCGAGCCGCAATCAGCACAAGAAGCTCGTCAATGCAAGTCGCTGCACACCTACCCTTTTGGTGAGATGCTCGCCCGGCAGGCCGTCTTCGAACTTGGAGGAGAATGGCGGACTCTGCGCCGAGCTTGCGCGGGCGTTGCCCGCGCTGAAGCCGCCGATGCCGATGCTGGTCTGAATGGCCTGCTGCTGGGACTGTGAACGACTGCCTCCTCTGCGTGAGGAAGGCGGAGCGCCGCTCACGATCGGCAGCTTAAAGAACCCGCTGCGCTTGCGCACTGCGCCGGCCGGCGCCACAGGCGGCAGACCGTCCTCGTAGTCGGCGACAGTCCGGCCGCTGGGCTCGCCAGTGGGCCCGGTGCCGCGGAGAAACGCGGCCAGCTGGATCGCAGGCGGTTCAGCACCTCGTCGCCGGTCACCTCGCCGCCGCAGCTCACCTCGAGCGTGCTCTCGCGGCGCGACGCCTCGCCCTCACGCGGCTGGGCAGGAGCGCGCCGAGCGGCTGCGCTGCCGCTGTTGTCGACGATGCCCGTGCTGACGCGGCGCGACGCCTCGTCAGGGCCCGTCAGCTTGGCGAGCTTGCCCTCGCGCGGCTCGCTGACGCCGACGCTGTGGCGCACCGGCGTGCGTGCCAGCGGCGCCTCGACATCGATGCCCATCTTTGGCGTCGAGGATGTGCGGCGCGGGATGGCAGGTGTGGTGAGTGATATCTTGACAGAGGCGTCGTGCGGTCGAGCTGAAGGGCGTGCGTCCTGCCGGAGCGGACGGTGAGAAGGCGGAGGTGGACGAGAGGAGCGTCAGCAAGCGGCGCAAGATGAGGGTGGCAAGAGAAGAAGCACGGCGAGAGATCGTCGCAGCCGCAGCTCGATGCGCGACTATGAGCTGACGAGTGACACAGATTGGGAGGAGCCAGAGTGCGCGAAGGAGCTCACGGCGCACGGAAAGGGGTCCGTGAGAGGACAAAGGGGGCGCTGCACGCGCGTGCGCCACGTGCGCGCGAGAGCACAAAGGCAGGCTGGCCGTGCGGGCGAGGCCCTGCTCAGCTGCCGTCTGCCGCCTCTGCCGCCTGGTGCTGATGCAGCACAACGCCGATGGGGATCCCGGATGCCGGCCGTCAGAGTGCCCTGCTCTTGATTGACTCAGGCCGGCGGCCAGCGCAGGCCGCTGGGCTGAATGCTGCGCCGCCGCCATGCGCGGCGTGCCGCTGCCCCCTGGCGGCGCCGCGCGCCTTGCCCCCTGAGCGCCGCAGCGCAAGCGCCGCGCAGCTCCGACAAAGACTGTAGCAGAGCTGCAACCGACAGTACGCAGCCGAGAGCTTGACGCACCTGATGCTGTGAAGCGGCTTTGCTCGCTCAATCCGCACTCGCTCGCGGGCGAGTGGAGCGAGCGTCTGCAAGAGGAGAGAAGAGGGGCAGAGCGCACGCGCAATAAGTGCGCGCCGCGCCGGCGCCGACGGCCGGCAGGGGCTCATATAGGCTTCAGGCTTGAACGGCGGCCCTGCTGCGCCGCTGTTTGCGCCTGTCGAGCACGCAGCGAGAGCGCACCGGTCTGCTGAGCAGCACCAGCGCTCGAGCAAGACCTCGGCAGCGCAAGAAGAGCGCCGTGGACGCTTGGACCATCGCAGGACGATCGCAACGTGCTCGCGAAGCGTCCATGCGTGGCGCGGCCTGAGCGTCGAGCGCCGCAGCGCTGCGCGCGGCCGCGGCAGAACGCAGCAGTGGCCCGGCTTGCACGAGGGCGAGCACGAGCACGCTAAGGCCAGAGGAGCCGTGCCACGAAAGTGACGCCACCTCCTCGGGGCAGACACAGCAGCAGCCGGCCAGCCGTCTCGCCTCGGCTCAGCACCTCATCTGCGGGCATGGCAGGCCGCAAATCAACGGCGAGCCATCGGGCTTCACTGTCCTGCGAGGTGAGACATGGTGCGGGCAGGACAGCAGAGGACGCGTGGCTCAGGGGCCCAAGCGCTCGGACCGAGATGCCTCGCCCCGGGCATGAGCTCGCTGACGGAGGAGGCGCCCTGCGAGCGCTGATCGGCTGGTCGCTGCGGCAGAACGTGCTCGATCGAGACCGCGTTCGCAAGAGAGCAGCTGTCGCTGCATCAGCATGCAGTCTGTCTGCAGAGCTTGACGGCTCTAGAAGCGCTTGACGTCGAGTGCACGCGCGGAGAAGCTTGCAAGGTCGACAAGCTCGATGCTCGGCCCACCGCGTCAAGCGCAACAGCCAAGCTTTCCACTCGCACGCTAGCCCGGACACCTTCTCGCCAGCGGTCCGAGCGCTCAACCTCATCAGCCGGCCTTTCGGGCGGTCTCGGTGCCGCTCGTCACGTCCCGCCGCTCCCACTGCGCGGATCACTGCGGGCTGCACACGATGAGCTGCAATTCATACACTGCGTATGCCGCGACGAGAGCGTGGGCCTCAGTGGAACAGAAGCGGTGCCGGCGCTGCCGACTGCCATGCCGGCTCGGGCGTCCAGTGCTCCCAGCGCGGCGGCGCCCAGCTCGGATCTGGATTGAGCGGGCGTGGCGTGCGCATGCTGCCAGCGACACTTCCAGCCGACGGCTTGCGAGTCAGGTCCTGCTTGACGGGGCGCGGTGAGCGGCCCAGGTCCGAGGCGAAGCGTGGCGATCGGTCAAGCGCGCGAGACTGCGGAAGGCGAGCACTTTGCGGCTGTCCGCTGGGACGGCCGCCGTGCTTGGCCGATTTGGCCGCAACCTGCACGAGGTCGAGCGGAGGCGGAGGACGCGTGCGGCCGTGGGTCGAGAGTCGCGGCAGGCGGTACGGCGAAAGCGGCGAGCGGGGCGTCTGCGGCGAGGCCTTCGTGGGCGAGACAGCATCGTGCAGGCGCAGCAGCGACGTGCCGCGCGGTGAGACGGCGACCAGACCGGAGGCCATCGTAGGCACAGCGGCACCTGCGCGAACAGTGGCGAGGGCAGCAGTGTGTGCCGCGGGGTGCATGGCGTTTGCGAGCACCTTGAGCGCCGGCAGGGAAGAGACGCGGCGAGGCAGGCGGGTGGGTGGGCCTGCGGGCCTGCCCGCGTTGGGGCTGACCTCGCCTGAGCAGACCGATTCTCGGCGCGGCGGCGGCACGGGCGCCGGCCGAGGCGACTCGCCAAACAGGGCATGCGCTGCTTGAGCGTGCTGCTGGGCTTGGCTGGCTGGGACGACTGCGCCGCGAGCATCGTCGCGACTCGGCGGACAGGCGGTGCATAGCAGAAGCGGGTCCACGGCAGCCTGCGGTCGTCCGCATCCCCAGCTGTCGAGGATGGGTGCGAGGCGCAGCTGTCCGACGTAAAGCGCAGCTGGATGCGCGTGCGGCGCAGCGATGATGTCGCGGAAGGTGTTGATCGTGGGCGGAGCGCTGGGCGGAGGCTCGACGCCGCGCAGTGAGGCAATGCTCCGGCTTGTGCGCAGCGCAGCGGCTCTAGCATCGCCGGTGGTCGATGCAGACGAAGCCAAATGGCCGTGCCCGCCGAGTGCACGTCGGAAGAGACGTGAGCCGAGGCGCTCTCCCGATCGCACACGGCGCAGCGGCGAGGGAGGGACCCTTGAGACCTCCTGCTCTAGCGGCAGCGACTGCTTGGGCTGCTTGGACGCACGGGCTGCAGCTACGAGCAGCGCCTCCAGGCCCGACGGTGGCAGTTCGTTGAGGAGTCGCGCGATGCTGGCCGGCGTGGGCGAGCTGCGAGGCGAAGCGGTAGCCACTGGCGATCCGAGCGCGCCGAGCGCGAGCGTAAGGCACGAGCGGCAGAGCAACTGACAGGAAGTGTCAGCAAGAGGAAGGCACACGGGTAGTCGCTGCACGCACCTGTCGACTCGGCACGAAGATCCATAGGCCGTGAGCCTCGCAGCAGTCGCACTCGGTGCGCAGCGCAGCGCCGCCCAGCAGCGTCGTATCTGGCAGCGTTGATCAGCCAAAGCCTCGCCTTACTTGCGCAGAGACTTGACTTACCAGCAGCACATTCGCGCCTGGCCTGAAGGGTACGGGCAAGCACAGCGCCAGCGCTGTCCTCCGGAACTTGCGGTGCGTCGTCCAGCTGGCTCAAGATCGAGCGAACGGGGTCATCGCTGCGTGCGCGACGGTGATACGAAGTGTCGGCCTTTGAGCGTGGCGATTTGCCTGGCGGTGCGTGAATGACCTCGCTGGCTGCGAGCGGTGCCGGGAGATTCCTCGGGCGGATCGAGCCGGGCCGGAGGAAGAAAGCACGTCGCGAGGCGTTGTGGAACGCACGCGAGGTGTAGCGGAAGCCGCTCTGCGAGGCGGTGCTCGTGCTCTCGATGCTGCTCTTTGCTTTGCTGCTTTCCGTCTCGTGACTGACAGACACATCGCTGTCGAGAACCTGGCTGTCAGTTCGAGCGGCGGCGGCGCGAAGCGACATGAAAGAGCTCTTGTTGCCGAGAGCGCGCGACCGGAAGAAGCCCATGTGGGCTGCTGGCTCGTGCGATGTCGATGAGTCGCACTGCAAGCGGTCGTGTCAGAGATGGGACAGCCACGAGCGCGAAGCACTCACGCCTGAAGAAGAAGAGTTTTCGTCGGTGTCGTCGCTGCTGAAGTGACTCTCCAGAGCAGGTCGCACGATGTGCTCTGGCACCGGCGCGTTGTGCGTACGGATCTTGGCGTCGAAGGCGGGGTCCTCGTCCGAAGAGGGCGCGTCGTCGATCTCGAGGTGCAGCAGGCCCGTCGAAGGGCGGCGGCCCGTCAAGCTGCCAAAGTAGTCGGCGTACAGCGTCTCGGGCCCAACAAGCATGACAGGCGGCACGCTGCCCTTGCGCCTGCGCGACGCCAGCGTCGAAGTGGGCTGCTGCGCCCGCGGCGTCAGCAGGTCGTCGGCATCTGGGCTGTCCATTGCGTAGCTCTCGGGCGCATAGCTCTCGGGCGCATGCTGATGCTCGGTGTGCGACGTGTCCGGCGAGGTGTCGGACGTGCACGACGACGAGGAAGAGGAGTACGCTTCGGGCCGGGCGGTCGCGTACGTCGACGCCGTCAGCGTCGAGTGCAGGCTGAGCGGCGACGGCGACGGCGGCGCGGTGGAGAACGGCGAGCCAGGCATGCGCTCGCCGAGATCGGACGAGGAGCACGAAGGCGACAGCGACTTGTGCGACATGGCAGGCGCGAGTGCGAAGAATGTGGCTTGCAGGAGGAGGGTTCTTGCATGCCGTCTGCCTTTATGAGACGGCCGGCGTTTCAAGACCGGGTCTGCTCGCTGTCAGCGCCGCCGCTGCCGCCTCGTCTTCGCATGCGATGGCTTGAGGACGAGGAGGCTCAAGCGCAGGCAGCGCAGGGTCTGCGAGAGATGCACTTCCACGAGCTTCGCGGCTGACTCGCGAGCGCTCGGGTGACGAGCGCCCGACATGCACGGCGGCGAGGAGCAGAGGGCACGCGCGTGCAGCTGCATCGGCCAGTGCTAGATGCCACAGCACCAGGGCATCTCATGACGCCCGGAGCCGGGACGCTGAGCTGCGGAGAGAATGGCGTAGTGCCAAATTCCCGGACGCGGCGAGGGGCTCGTGCGCCGGGCGTGCGCTTGCCTGTCCGCTGCCGCGCTGCTGCGGCCGGGCGCAGCGAACTTGAGGCCGAGATGAGCTGCAGGAGAGGCCGCGGTACAGCGATGCGGCTGTCGTGGCACTGCGAGAGAGCTGCTGGGCCGGCGACGAGGAGCATCGGGCATACGCTCGCCAGGCGGGCTGTGGTGCCGCGCGCGCACGGATCGCCTCGTGGGTGCGGCTGGTGGCGAGCAGGCGGCGACGTGGCCTGCGACGGCAGCTTGAAGGCCGGCAGGCGCTGCGCACGATCGTGGGGTGCGTCGTCTAGGCGAGCGCCTCAGAGTACCGTCTCCATCGTGCCAGCGTCGAGGTCGCCTCGGAGCCGTGTCGTTCCGAGAGGGCTGCCGGCCTCACGAGCAGGCCAGCTCCTGTCTGCGACTGGCGACGGCGTGCATCTGTCTCGTGCAGGTGCGGCAGGCATGGCACTTGCGGCGGGCTGTGCGACAGCCGAGGCTGAGGCTGGGCGGCATTGCGGCGTGCCGCGCAGCAGGAGCGATGCGGCGCTGAGGCAAGAGCGAGGCGCCGCGGCTGTGGCGTGTCGAGGAGGCGCCGGCTGGCGCTGGTCCCACGCTCCGCGCCTCGCATCACGCTGCGCCGGCGAGCCGCGCTCCCCGCTCCATCACGCTCAGGGGCATGCGCTCGCCGCCGCCGAGCAGCCTGCGGTGCCGTGCTCGCACCTGAGCAACTTGTCTCGACAGCTTCATTTCGCGCACTGAGCCCTCACTGTGGACCCTGGAGACCCGTGGGTGCGGAGCTCCATGCGCGGCGTCGGCTGGGCGGAGTACAGCAGGCGGAGAGTGAGAGCGCAGCGAGAGCCGGCCGGAGCGCTGGTCAGCACAGGTTCGTGTGTCTCCCACGTGGAAGCCACTCGCGTTGCCAGCTCTGCTCCAGCTCCGCAGGAGATTGCAGGAGTGAAGCCTGGCGGTCGGACCACCCGCAGCTGCGCGGCTTCATCAATCGTCGGTGCGGAAGACACCTCCGCATCGTCCCCCGTGATGAGGCTGCGCGAGACTAGCGCAACAGAGCCGCCCCTAGGTGAAGGACTCCCCACAGCCGAGCGGTGCCCACAGCCGTGATGCTCTCTCCCGCCTCGCACAGGCGTGGAACAGCGCAAACGATGTCAAGGATCCCGGCGCTAAGCTCCTCCACAGGGCACGTCCGCAGTGCGATCGCTGTGAGCTCTGCTGGGCCTCTGCAGACGTTGCGAAGCTGACCTGTCAGCTCCCGCCGGGGGGGGGGGGGGGGCAGTGATGAAGAGCAACCTCCGCATCGCGTCCTCTCTTGGTCTCTCACCACCACAAGCTCGTCTGACTCGCCACCACCGTCAACTTTCGCCATGTCGAGCTCCAGCCAGAACAACGGCTACACCATCAAGAGCACCGGCACGAACAGCCAGGTGAGTGGAGTCTGCTCTCAGCAGCGGCCACGTCATCTGGCTGACGCCCTCTCGGGCAGGGCAATCACTGGTGCAGCCGCGAATTCGGCCCCTCGGCGCCCAGCCAGAACAACTACCACTACTCGAACAAGGACGGCAGCTTCCACTACAAGAACCCCGACGGTTCGACGTGAGTGCCGGCGTCCGGACGTTCACCCTTCCTCGAAGTAGACCGCTGACGACGCGCGTCGCAGGTATCACAACGACGGCAAGGGCAACTCGACCTACACGACGCCCTCGGGCTACCAGGTGCACAAGTCGGACGGCCAGCAATGATGCTCTCGCCGCTGCGACAAGCGCCGGTTTCCGTCCTCGCGCTCAGCAACTGCGAGCTGCGTGTGCTTTGAGCAATACAAATCTCCATTCCTCCTCAGCATGGTGAAGAATGACACGGCGCACGAGCAGGCAGCGTCCGGCGCTGCTACCGTCGCCGTGACGCGCGCTCCTTCTGCCGCTCCTCCTCGTCGTCCGAGTCGACGGTGCCGCTGCGCGGGCGCAGCAGCTGCGACTCCTCCTCGTAGTCGGGGTCGTTGCGCCGCGGCTGCGGGAAGAACTTGTGCGAGTGCTCCTCCTCGGGGCTGCGGTCGTGCGACTCTTCGTCGCGGTGCACGGCGGGCGAGTGGTCGTACGAGTCGCGCGGCTGTGGGTCGTCCCACATCGTTCGCAGCGCATTGATCGGCCGGATCGAGGGCGTGGTGTCCTCCGTGTCGCGCGTGTCGCCGCTGCCCTCGCGGATTGCACCCATGCCCGCCTGCGCACCGCGGCCGCCCTCGGTGCGGTATGCCGCCTCACCTGCGTGATGCCCGTGCGGCTGCTTGCTCTCCTCGGTGAAAGAGATGGCCGTGTCGCGCTTGTAGGGCATGTTCGGCAGCGTCAGGGCGGCGTCGCTTGGCCGCCGCATCGGCGAGTCGGAGAGCTCGAAGCGCTGCAGGTCGCGGCTGCTCGACGTGTTGAGCATGCCGCTCTCGCTCATCGCGTAGGCGTCCGACGAGGCGTGCAGCCGCCGCCGGCTGCGGGCGCGCACCATCGAGCCGAGCACGCCGAGGCCGCCGCGCACGGCGTCGGGCCCTGGCTCCTCGGCCGTGGCGTCGAGGCCCTTCTCGTGCGCGAGGTGCGAGCGCGAGGCGCGGATTAGCAGCGTCGTCTCGCGGTCCAGCGGCGAGCCGTCGGCGTTGGTCAGGTCCGCCGGGTCGATCTTGCTGAGCTGCAGCAGCGTGATGCCCGAACAGATCGTGAGGAAGCACAGCACGATCGTGATGATGCCCGTCGCCGTCGTGTCGAGGCCCTGGAAGAGGATGATGCTCGACACGAGCGTGCAGAACGTGAAGACGACGTAGTACGTGGCTGTGCGCGAGTATGAGAGGAGGTAGGGACAAGGCTGGCGCGCAACTCACGCGTGACCATTGCTGTGTTGAAGAGTTCCAGAGCCTTGTTGAGGTCTGCGCAGGACTTGTTAGGCAGAGCGAGGCAGGCCGTACCCGCGCAGCTCACAGTTGATCTCGACGAGCAGCGTAATGACGACGAACGCCAGCAGGAAGTAGAAGAACCAGTGCTTGAGCTGCATGTCGCCGCGGATCGTTAGGATCACCGCCGAGCCGATGCCCGAGATGCACGACACGGAGAGGCCGCCGGTGAGCGAGCAGATGGTGATGTGCACCATGACCTGCTTCTTGCCCCAGCGCGGCGCCACGAAGAAGACGAGCCCGACTGTGGCGGGGTCAGGGCCGGCGAGAGATGCACGATCCATGGCCACTCACGGCTCGCGATGATGCACAGCGACATCCACACGAGGAAGCCCGGCGCGATGAAGAGATGCATGAACTCTTCGATGTCTCCCGCTGCGTGCGACACGGGCGCATTGAGCGCAATGCCCGTCGAGCCGACGATGCACAGAAAGGCGCCGACCTTGCCAAACAGCGCTGCAGCCTCAAGATCAGCACGGAGTCACGCACAGCCACTGCGGTGGACGCACTCAGCTTCTCCTTGAGGAAGATGCTCGAGAGAATGGCGCAGATCTGCGCGAGTCCGGCAGGTGAGCAGGCGCCGGCCTCGGGCATGCCAAGCGGCACGCACCACGACGGAGAGCGCGCCTAGCGGCGTCACGAGCAGCGCCGACGAGATCGAGAGGGCCACGAGGTTGAGCACCTCGCCAAGGATCTGCAGCAGAGGTCAGTCCCGCAGCTGCTGCAGCAGCTCGGCCCGCGCAACGCACCATGAGCACCATGCCCGTCCACCACAGCCAGCTCTTCAGATACGCATGCCCCTCGCCGGCCTGCTGCCCAAACTTGGCCTGGCTCTGCAGCAGGCCCTTCTTTTTGAAGACGAAGCTGCTGCCGATGAAGAGGCCGCTGGCGACGGCGAGGGCGATGCCGATGTACGTGAAGGCCTTGGGCGTGCTCTTCTTGCCCGACGCCAGCGCCGCCTCGCTGGCCAGTGCCGCCGACGCCGAGGCGATGACAGACGAGAGCGATGCCGATGCCTGCGATGCCGATGATGTGGTGCCGGCGGCGTCGAGGACGCTCGCGGACGGAGCCGCGCTGGCGAGCGAGGTGAGCGTGCTCATGGCGCGCGCCGGTGGAGGCGTGCGGGGGCGCAGAGGGGCACGCGGGGCACGGGCGGAGCAGATGCGCGGGCGCGGCGGCCTAGAGATGATAGCGCAGAGGTGCGAGCGGTGTGGTGGAGAGAAGACTGCTACTCGCTGGCGGGCATGATGCGGTGGGAAGGCAAGACGGGAGCTGCGAGGCGAGTCCAACAGCAGCGCACGCGCCGCGCACCGCCTTTGCCGGCGAGCGGCACACCGCCCCGGCACCTTGCGCGCTGACCCCTCTGCGAAGCACAGAAGGCGGGGTGCAGCATCCTGCATCCTGCACGCCACGCTAGCAGCCCCTATGTCCGGCACCGCCAGGCCGTGTGCTCGGCGACAGCCACTCGTACTGCTACACCTCGCTGCGGCACAGAGCGCTGGCCGGCGTGTGAGACCGTCGGGGCGCGAGGACGGGCCGCGCTCGAGGGTCTCGGCGGGCGGCTGCCCCCCTGCGGCTGTGGAGGTGCGGCACAGCCTCGCGGCGCGGCACAACGAGAGAGCCACGCGCATCGTGCGGCAGCGCGCAGCTCTGCCTTCTCCACCCTCACTCCCCCTGCCTCGAGACTTTGCAATTGCGACGCTGCACACGCACTCCGGAGCGTGCCCGTGACGCTGCTGCACGCACGGCGTGGGCGAAATCGCGGCCGACCGAGCAACCCTGTCACAAGCTCACGCAGCCGAGGTACCGAAGTGTCATTGCAGGGAGAGCACGAGAGAGCACGGGAGATGCGTCAGACCTGGTAGCGGAAGTAGATCGACGCCTCGCCGCGCCGTGCGACGTCGAGCTTCTGCCGCCAGCGCTCGTCGTCGGGGTCGGCGCGCTTCTCGACGGCGTAGCCCTCGCTGCGCTCCAGCGCGGCCTGTGCGGCGTCGCGGCGCCGGTTGCGCATCCACAGCAGCAGGCTCGCCGTCGCCGAGATGGCCGCGCCGCCGATGAGGATGCCCGTCGACGTCCACATGCCCTTGCGGTAGAGCGGCTTGTCGGCGTCGGGGAAGAGGCGCACGCCCAGGAACGGGCCGCACTGCCCGATGACGCCCAGCGCCACGAGCGCCACGCCGCGCCGCGACTCGCCGACGGAGTTGTGGATGTTGAGCATGTAGATGAGCGGAATGTCGGTGAAGAGCGAGAGCACGACGAGGTACGTGGCGCCGTAGCGCACGTGCACGTTCTCAGACACGGCCAGCATCACGTAGCCGGCGATGCCTGGGGGCGAGGGTGAGCAAGAGGGGCTGGCAGAGGCACGGACACCGACGCACCGACGCAGAACATGCCGCACACAAAGACGCCGCGCACCATCAGCCGATCGGAGACGTACACGATGGCCAGCGCCATGATCCAAGCGACCAGGTACGGCGGCGCCGACAGGCCCTGAGGTGATGAGAGCGTCAGCGGCGAGTGATTCAGGAGACCGCGGCGTACACGCACCTGGCTGCGGATGCTCGTGTAGCCGAGCTCGTTGATAAACGTCGGCAGGTAGACCGGCACCGACGAGTAGCTGCGAGGCAGGAGCAGGAACAGGTGAGCGCTGCATCGGCTTCTAGCGAGAGCCGCGAAGCTCACCTGACGTTCACGATGAACAGCAGAATTGCCGAGGTCCAGGCCATCGGGTCAAGCAGAGCACCCTTTGCGTTGGAGAAGTCAAGCTTGGCCGCCACATCCGCCTTGATGGCGCGCAGTGCGCTGAACTTCTGCTTCTGCTCGCCCGCGCCGGCATGCTCGTCGAGCCGTGCCGCCGCGCTGCGGTCGACTGTCTCGCGGAAGAGACGCGCCTCGGCGATGGAGCGCTCGCGCGGCGTGAGGAACGAGGCGCTGGCGATCGAGTCGGGCAGGAAGAAGAGCACGATGAACGCGACGATGACTGTGACGCTTTGTGAGCAGGTGCGGCAGGCAAGATGAGGAGCGTAACTCACTTGTGGGCAGACCCTCGACGATGACTGCGCGGCGAGTCAGCGATGTCCGGCCGGAGAGCACAGGTGCTGTCGCGGAGACAGCGCGGCCTCAAGCCCTCTCTCCCACGGGACTCACAGAGGAGGCGCCACGGCTCGACCGCAGTGCGCGTCTGCTGGATGCCGTACGCAATCGAGCCGGCAATGCAGCTGCCCAGCGCCGACGAGGTGAGGAAGATGGCAAAGCGGATGCCGATCTCCTCCTTGGGGTAGAAGAAGGAGTAGTAGAGAGCGACGGCCGTGCCGAAGCCGGCCTCTGCGACGCCGAGGAAGAAGCGGCAGGCCATGAGGCCGCTCCAGCCCGTCGCCGTCGACTGCAGCACCGACGCGACACCCCACTGCGGCGCATCGTCAGCGTGTACAGGCCATACTCGCTCGCAAGGACGCACCACGAAGACACAGCCCGCCATCCAGCGCGACGGCGGCAGGATCTTGAGCGCGAGCAGGAGCCACTGGAAGAGCGCGTAGCCGATGTAGCTGCGTATCTGCTCAGCATGGGCAGCCAGCAATGCAAAGCTTGCGAGCGCGCTCACAACATGGTCAGCAGCCACTGGAACTGCGGCGACGAGATGCCGAGGTCCTTGTTCATGCCGGCGGTGCGGGCGTTGCCGATGTTCGAGCGGTCCTGCAGCAGCAGCTCAGCGTCGCCCACCCGGCTGGACCTGCTCGGCCACTCACCAGCGCGGCGAGGAGATACGTGATGAAGAGGATGGGCAGGATGCGCACGTCGAGCTTGCGGCGCACGCGGCGGTCCTCCTCCATGCTCCACCAGCGGTGCTCGCGGTCGACGGCCTCGCCGTGTGCGCCGCCGAGGTGCGCGTCGTCGGCCCGCTCGCTCGCGCTGCCCGCAGCGGGCGAGGCGGTGGCGCCGCGCCCGGCCTCCTTCTTGTCGTCGTCCGACGTGCGCGTGTGCGCGGGGGCGAGCTCGTGCGACATGGCGGCGCCTCGAGCTGAATGGTGGTTGTGGTGCAAGATCAGGTCGCTGCAGAGTCGCGATGAGCTGCGACGAAACCCTCGGCGCGGCACAAGTGGCAATGAGAATGCGGGGAAGGGGCGGCAGGGCAGAGCATGACGGTCTCGCGCGTGCCTGTCCCGGCATGCGGCGCTAGGGGATACCCAGCTCACAGCGCTGCAGCACGGTGCTCTTCTCTGGCAGGAGGGCTCGCTCCAGCCGCGGCGACCTGACGGCCATGGCGCCGATGTGCAGGAAGGGTGGGACCGCGAGACTCGCTTCCCCAGGCGCAGGAGCGGGGAAAGCGTGCCGCACTCTTACTCTTGGAGCGCGGCCGGCGGTGCGGCGGAGTCGCCGGGCGCCTTGCCGCTGCACCTCGGCGGCACGGCCGGCGGAGCGGCACCACGCCGGCACAGCGCCAGCCGCCGGCGCGCGCTGCAACTCGCCGTGCCGCGGCTCGCAGCGTCGGTGTCCGACGAGGAGAGAGGCACGCTCCACTGGCCCGGGTCTCTGGGCCTCGTGCTTGCCGATGCCAAGGAGCTATCCTGGATGTACGTGCGAGCTTCTGCGATGACCTTCAGCACCACGGACTCGAGGAAGGGTGCGCCGGAAACCATGTGTCCGCGGCTCGCGGATGGGCTCCTGATCCACCCCTCGGAGCACTCTCGAGGGAAATCTCGAGTCCCATCAGCACGCCTTGGCTCCAGATGGCCACAGCAAATGCTTGACGGATCCAGTTGAGCTCCTCAAGAGTGAACAGCCCCGCATCCTGGCTCTGCAGGGCTGGACAGGTGCCCGGATGGGAGCAAGGGAGTGATGCGGAGGCGCCGGACAGGTAGAGCAGCTCTCGGCCGAGAGAAGTGCCGCGCTCCTCGCCAAGGAGCCCGCTGCGCTTGCGCCGCCTCCATCTTGCCGTCCACCACACCTTCCACCGCCCAGCATGGCCAGCGGCAGCAGCGAGAACGCCGCACTGCTCGCGCAGATTGCCGCACTCAGCGGCGCCATCCAGACGCACCGCGCCGGTGCCGCACCCGCCGCAGCGCCGAGCTATGCGCGCGGCCGGGGACGCGGGCGAGGCCGGGGGCGCGGCGCAGCAAGCGCAGCACCGCTGCCGAGCAGGCATCGCCAGCTCATCCTCACCGCACCTGCCGCCGCCACGACATCATCCAGCAGCGCCTCGAGCTCGAGCGATGCTGCGGCCGCTGCCAAGGCACCCGAGGCTGCCGCTGCGCCCGACGCGCCGCAGCAGTGGGTCAAGACGCGCACCGGCGGCGGCATGAGCCTCGTCAGCGCTCAGGTGTACGAGAAGAGGTGCGTCACGGGCGACCAAGCGCATGTGATGCCCGTCTCATGCTCTTTTCAGCGCCGCCGCAAGGCAGAGCGCCGCAGCATCAAGCAGCAGCTCGCGCGGCACCCGCGGCGTGCGGGATGCTCGCGGCGGCAGCAGCCGTGGCGCCTTCGCACGCGGCGGCAGCAGTGCCGCAGCGGTGCGCCGCGGCCCAAACATGGGCGAGGTGATCGTTGACGGCGTCACGTTCGTCTTTGATGCGTCGGGCACCAAGCTCGTCAAGGCGGCGTCGCGGCCTGCCGACGAGGCAGAGGCCTCTTCCTCGAGCGCGCCCCCAGCATCGCCCAACACGCCGCTGCGCACGAACGTCAACGGCCAGAAGTTCGTGCGCACAAAGACGGGCAACCTCATCTCCGCCGAACTGCTGGCGAAGCGCAAGGAGGCGCGCGAACGCAAGGGCAAGATGAAGCGCCTCGAGGGCCTAACTCGGGACGTGGCCGAGCGCCAGGCACTGCGGTGAGTGGTGATTGGCACGCTGACAGACGCGCATGAGCTGAGGCGAGCGGCTGCGCAGCAACGCTGCGCGTCCCTCGTCATCCAAAACGACCCTATCGCCGCGCAAGCCCAAGGGCCTGTGCTCGTACTTCAACAAGACCGGTCAGTCGTCTGACTCTCACGCCTCCTCTGCTCCGCTCAATGCCGCGCAGGACAATGCAAGCGCGGCCTCTCGTGTCCGTGGGAGCACAACAGCGCCAAGCGCGCCATCTGTCCCGGCGCGCTGCGGCCCACAGGATGCACTGCGGCGCGCGGCACATGCCTGCTCTCGCACACGCCTTCGCCGCACCGCTCGCCGCACTGCACGCACTTTCTGCGCAGCGGCACCTGCCGCGCCGGCGAGGCGTGCGCATATACGCACGCTGCGCTGCCGCCCAACGCGCGTCTCTGCCCCGAGTTCGCGCGTGTGGGCTGGTGCGAGGCGGGCCGCGCCTGCGAGCGGAGACATGCGTGGGAGTGCCCAGACTTTGCCGAGAGCGGCAAGTGCACGCGCAAGGGCTGCCGTCTCGAGCACGTCATTCGTGCTGGTGCAGATGCAGAGGAGGGTGCCGACGCGCTTGCCGACGATGCGCTCTTCGTGCGCGACGACGCCGCGCAGTTCGAGCCAGAGGCGCCCGCGGGCGAGCGGAAGCGCTACCTGGACGAAGAGGCAGAGGCGTACGGGAGCGAGGAGGAAGGTGGCCTGACATTCAGGCCGCGCAAGAAGGCCAAGGAGTTCGGCGCGCAGAAGGACTACATTGGCTTCGGCGAGGAGGACGAGGAAGGGGAGGAGGAGGAAGAGGAGGAAGACGAAGAGCAGCACGAGCTCGTGGCCACTGACAGCGAGCACGACGAGAGCGAGGTGGAAGAAACAGATGATGTCGAGGAGAGCGACTCGTCGTCGGCATCTAGCAGCGACGACGATGCGGCGCTGTAGCAGCGCGCCCAGCCGGTGAGTCGCGCTTCTGTCCGCCAGGCCGGCAGCGGTCCGCCCTAGCCCGCCCTGCCTCATCTAGCCTCTCTCCTCTTTGCGCCCTTTTTCTGTCACATCTCTGCCCATCGGCCAAAAGATAGACCGCCTGTGAGCGTCAGTCTCCACACACATATTCCACGCACGTACGCTAGCACGATCCGTCAGTAATGACATGCTGCGTTTGCTGGAGCGCTGCAGCGTCGTGATGCGCTGGACGCCCCAGCCTGGCGAAGAGCGGTGCGGCGTGTGTGTGACGCTGTTGTGTTCAGTCTCACCCGGCCGTCCATCTGCTGCAGTCGGCTGATCGCACAGATACCATTGCGGTGACCCGCCGGGCCCTCTAAGCTACGACCTCCTCAAAGCGGCCCAGCGACACCGCGCCCGCTTGCTTGCCCTGCCGCACGTCGGCGTCGGACCACTGTGCCCGCCGGTGCGTCTCGCTGCGGACGAATTGCACGAGGCGCTGCAGGTGCTCCGGGAACTCGAGCGGGCTCGGCGGGCTGCCAAGCACGAGCTCCGGCTCAGCGTCTGCCCGCACCGGTGCGGCACGGTCGCGTGCCAGCTCGGGCGAGCCCTCCTCGCTCGGGTCCTCGCCCTTGTTGGTGCGGTCGATGCCGGTGACCTTGCGCTTCACGCCGCCGACGACGCCCCAGCCCTGGCCCCAGACGTTGCGCCAGAGCGCCGCGGCGAGGCGCGCGTCGCTCTCGCTGTGCGCCAGCCCTTCGTCGAAGCCGAGCACGGAGCCGCGCTGCTGCTGGTGCAGGTCGCGCATGTAGCCCTTGACGAGACGGCTCGTCGAGATGCCGAAGCGGTCGCGCATGCGCGACTCGGCGTCGAGGAAGAAGTGGTTGACGATCTCCTGCGTGTACACCTTGGCCTCGTTGGGCGGCAGCGCGCGGAAGCGCACGATGAGCAGCCACACGTGCAGGTTCGTGAGCTGGAACCAGGTCTGATATGTCCGTGGCAGGCCGCACTCTGCGAGCGAGAAGGGTGTCAGCAGCGGCCGCTGCCATGCGTGGCGGTGGCTGCAGACAGCTGCAACGCTGCGAGGAGAGCGATTGCCACAGCCAGACCAGCATGGGACTAAGTGCGTCGCCAGCAGCTGGGCAGCGATGCAGCATCGCACTCAGTCTGCTTCACAACATCCGGGTACTTCCGTCGTTGCTACGGAGGCGCCGCTCTCTTCTGCATCATTGCCTCTCGCCACGGCCACTCACCCTCGTGCCAGAAGGGGTCCTGCACGCTGCGCTGCGCGCACTCGTCGTACAGGTCGCTGGTGACGCGGATCGCGGTGCTGGTGGTGCTGTTGTAGCCCATGACACGCGCCAGCCCTTCGACGAGGCGCACGGTGAGCGGGCTGTACTGGCGCGGCGCCCGCGGGCTGGGCGAGAGGCCGGTGGGGCGCAGGCCGCCCTCGGGCCGCGCCTCGCGCTCGCGCGACGACTGCGAGAGGCGCGGCGCAGCGCTGGAGAGGGCACGCAGCTGCACAGCCGCGGCGGGCGCAGCGAGCGGCGCGGCGAGGGCGCGGCGCACGAGTCGGGCAGACATGGCGGAGAAGGGTGCGGGAGGTGGTGCGCAGGAGGGACGCTGACCCGGCCTGGGCGGGCTGACAAAGTTGGCGGTGGAGGCACACAGCGTGGGAACGCACGCTGACTAAGCAAGGCTGCGCCGCTCTAGGCACGCTCGCTGCTCCCACGCGCTCGGCCGAGGCTCCAAGATTCACGGCGGCGGCGCGCACTGGCGGCGGCCACTTCTTCTCGCGCCGCCTGCCAGCCACGCCCCACCAACACCCCCACACCCCACCCTTCCTCGCCCACCATGTCGTCCGCAGTGATCGGCATCAACCTCGGCCACTCGTACTCGAGCATCGCCTGCATCAACCAACAGTGCGTGGCACCGAACTGCGGAGCTGGCAGCGTGACTGACCCCGCCGCAGCGGCCGTGCCGATGTGATTGCCAACGAGGACGGCGAACGCCAGCTGGCGACGCGCATTGCCTTCAACGTGCGTGGCAGCGCGTGGAACAGTGGCTGCAGCGTGTGCTGATGCTTTGCGCAGGGCGACCAAGTGTACATCGGCCAGCAGGCCACGCCGCAGCTCGTGCGCAACGCGCCCAACGTCGTCGACCGCTTCGTCGGCCTGCTCGGACGCAAGTGAGTCACCGCGGCGCGGCGCACACCGCAGGCGCATGCTGATGCTCGTTCAGGTACTCGGAGCTGAGCGCTGCCGAGCTCGAGCGCGTCTCGGCGCCCGTTGTCGACGTCGACGGCACGCCCTCGTTCCGCGTGCAGATCGACGGCGCCGAGCAGACGCTTTCCGCGCACGCCGTCGCCGTGCGCTTCCTCGCTGCGCTCTTCGGCACGGCCAAGGACTTCCTCTCCGGCGTGCCGATTGCCGGTGCCGTGCTTGCCGTGCCGCTGGCCTTCAGCGCCGCCCAGAGCGCTGCGCTCAAGGAGGCCGCGCAGGAGGCCGGCATCATTGTGCTGCAGCTGCTGCCGGCGCCCAGCGCTGCCCTCGTCGGCTACGGCCTCACCGCGCCCGGCCCCCGCGGCGCGCTGCCCACGAGCCCCGAGGGTGACGAGAGCGGCGCGCTGGCCGAGTACGCGCCCGGCCGCATCCTCGACCGCACCATCGCCGTTGTGGACGTCGGCGGCGGCTCCACCACCGCCACGCTCGTTGCCGCGCGTGCCGGTCTCTACACGCTGCTTGCCAGCGCCAAAGCGCCCGTCGGTGGCCGCGCCATCGACGACGCCCTCATTGCCTTCTTCGCCAAGGAGTTTACCAAGAAGACGAAGATCTCCATTGGCAAGGAGGACAAGCGCGCGTGGGCCAAGCTGCGCAACGAGGCGGAGAACACGAAGAAGGCACTCAGCGCCAGTGCCGGCGCACAGCAGTGCAGCGTCGAGTCGCTGGCCGAGGGCATGGACTTCTCTGGCAGCATCAACCGCGTGCGCCTCGACATGCTCGCCGCGCCGACGTACGACGGTGTTGTTTCGTGCCTCAAGGAGGCTCTCGCCAGTGCCGGCCTTGAGGCCGCGCACGTTGATGAGGTGATCCTTGCTGGCGGCACCGCACGCCTGCCCGGCGTGAGCGAGCGTCTCGGCTTCCTCTTCCCGGAGGAGGGCGGCGCCAGCATCACCGCCTCCATCGACTCGTCCGAGCTGCTTGCCCGCGGCTGTGCCGTCGAGGCACAGGTCATCGCTGCGCTGCCCGCCGACTCGGCACAGCGGAAGCACATCGACTCGCTGCCCGCCGCGCCGCCGGCCGAGGCTTCCGAGCTCAAGACGCGCACGACGGCACGGCCCTTCGGCCTCGTCGTGCCCGCCGAGAAGAGCAACCGCGCCGCCATCAACGGCCAGCTCTTCGTCACGCTGCTCGCCGCCCACACGCCGCTGCCCGCCCGCCGCGCCTTCACGCTGACGGCGCCGGCCGCGGGCGGCAAGGCGCTGCTGAGCTTCGCCGAGGGCACGCCGGACGTCGGCGTCGAGGTGCTTGACGCGCCCGAGCCGGATCCGGAGGACGAGGACGACGAGCCTGAGGCGCCCGAGGAGATCCGGACGGCCCGCGTCAAGGCCGACGACAAGCGTGTCGCCGAGATTGCGCTCGACACACAAAAGGGCGCCAGCGTGCTTGTGAGCATCGAGGCTGCCGCCGACGGCTCTTTGACCATCAAGGCAGAGGTCGAGGGCAGCGACGCATCCGAGTTGGTGCAGCTGCCGGCGCCCAAGGCCTAGACTCTTCCCCCTCCTACTGTACAAGAGCGCGCACTATTAGACTTCTTGCCAGCGCTTCTCGAGCTCGCGCCGCATGTGTGGAGACGCTATCGCGCATTTCTGAGCTCTACGAGAGCGGCACGCGTGGCACAGGAGCGGGAGAGGGGAGCGGGAGACTGGTGAGCTGGGCAGGAGCACGGCGCAGAAGCATGAGAGGCAAAAGTAGAGTAGAGCAGAAGGCGAAGGGGCAGGCTTGTGAAAGGACCGTGATTTTGGAGGACAGATGACCAGGTGGGGAGGCGAGAGTCAGGCGATGGCAGTCGCAGAGCTGGGTTGGTAGGTGACGGCGCCGACGACGGGAGATGGCACGGCCTGCGCTGCATCTCGGCCTACGTGGCGCATGTGGCGCTTGCGCCGGCTTTGGCGGACGATGACGGCGGGCGCAGACGAGTCGGTGAGGCGCGCATGCGACGGCGCGTTGGAGCAGTGGGCGGTAAAGTGAGGGGATGTGCCGGCGGCGGGCGGGCAGGGTATATGCAGGAGACAAGGGACACGAGGGCAGCCGATGAGCGAGAGGAAGAGGCGGCGAGCAGGCAGGCGGGATCACGTCGGCGACTTGCGCTTCATCACACCGCCAGGGCTGCCGGGCATTGGCATGCCCTGTGCGCCCTGCTGCATCTGCTGCTGCATCTGCTGTTGATGCTGCTGCTGCGCCTGATGCTGCGCCTGCTGCTGCTGCATCTGTGCCTGCTGCTGCTGCATCTGCATCTGCTCGTGCTGCTGCAACTGTGGCCGCTCGCGGCTGCCGCTGGCCGTGCGCTTGAGCGGCGTGCGCAGGCTCTTGCTGTTCGGGTTCAGCATCTCGTCGTCGACCGGACCCGCGCCCACAAAGACGTCGCCGGCGTGCTGCTGCGTGTAGGCATTGGCGAAGGCCGACGGCTGGCCCTGGCCAAACTGGCCTGCGCCCGGGAAGCCATTGCTCGGCGAGCCGACGTACGGGCTGCCGTTGCCCGCGGCGTGCGGGTCGAGCAGGAACGAGTTCTGGTGCGCCGTCGAGACGGCCGGCGAGGGCGGCAGCGGCGTATTCATCGCCGCCATCATCTGCACGACGCCGGGCGAGATGGGCGACGGCGGTATGCTCATGACGCCCAGCCCCGGGTTCGGCGCGCCCATCATCTGCATGTGCTGCTGCATCGCGGGCGACGAGTGCGCCGACATGGCGCTCGTGTCGATGGCCAGGCCCGAGAGCGGCGGCGGCTTGCCCGCCATGGGCCGGCCATGGACGGAGAAGTTGGGCTGCTGCCCGGCAAAGGTGCCCTGCTCGCCGAAGGAAGGCGAGCGCCCGGCGCTGACAGGCCGGCCCTGCGCATCGAGCATCGGACTTTGCGCGCCGCTCGCGACCGATGGGCGGCGGCTGCCGAGCGGCGAGACGTGCTGCATCGCGCCCATCGCAAAGGGGTCGTAGTCGTGCGACGAGCCGCCGGACTGCATGCCCTGCGCGTGCGGCCCGGGCGGTCCTCCTGGTCCGCTCTGGCCCATGAATGGCGGCTCAGTGACGAAGATCGGCGGGCCGTCGACGTGCGGCGTCTGCCCACCCGGCGGCGGCGCGCCCCAGGGCGTCTCGGACCAGTTGGGCATCATCGGGCTCGGGATCGGGATGTCGGCCTGCAGCATGCGCAGCTCGTACGGCATCTGCCCGCCGTTCTGGCCCTTAATCCACTCGAGCACGCCGCCGAGCACCTCGCGCATGCCCACGAGCGCGTTGCGCAGACCCACGTTGACCTCGAGGCATTCCTCGAGGCGGAACTGCACGTCGTCGACCTGTGCGCGCAGCTGCATCTGGCCCACCGAGACGCTGTACTGCAGGTCGCGCGCCTCGACGCGCGCGTGCTCCGAGTCGAGGGCCTTGCGGCGGATCTCGTCGAGCAGGTCGGGCCGCCCGCGTATGAACTTGGGGTGCGAGAACTCCCACACCTGCGTGTCGACAGCGTTGCGGTGGCCGCGCGGCGTCTTGTTGACCTTATAGAAGCCGTACCTGCAGACGCACGCTGTCAGAAGATGTCGCAAGCGTGCGCGAGCTCTCGCAGGCAGCAGTACGCTGTTGTGCGCGCATCGCATGTCGCGCGCCTGCCCTTCGCTGCGCGCGCCGCTTCACTCCGCACCATCGCCTGCAGCGCAACTCACATGTTGAGCTGGCGGATGAAGCTGGAGAAGTTGGAATGCTTGAAGTGCTTGCCGAGCACCTCCTTTGAGAACTCGTCGAAGTTAGTCACGACGACGGAGCTGCCCGTGCCGTTCCACGAGATGAGGTGCTGGTACTCGGGGTCCGAGACCATGCGGAAGAGCTTGTGCACGAACTTGGTGCTCGGGCGCAGGTCGTCGCCCGAGCCCGACGCCGGCAGCGCGGCGCTGCTGGGCACGGGCGGCGGCGCCATGGCGGCAGCCGCGCTGCTGGAGGAGCCCGCGGCAGGGCCGTGGCCGGGCGTCGAGCCAGGGCTCGGCAGCTCGAGCGACGAGTCGGCAAAGCTGGCCATGCTGTCGCTGCGCTCGGGCATGCCGCGGAAGGCATTGGCTGCGCCGCCGCTGCCGCTGCCGCTGCCGGTGCCGCTCTCCTGCTTGACCATGCTCTGCGGCGAGCCGCTGTCGGAGCTGGGCGAGCCGCCCATGCTGCGGTGCGGCGACGCGCTGAGGAACACGCTGGGCTGGCCGCTCTGTGTCTGCTGCTGCTGCTGCCCGGGCATCGCAAGCTGGCCGAAGGTGACCGGGCTCGACGGCAGGCTGCCGAGGCTGCCGTGCGCCGGCATGCCGCCGTGCACGCCGAGCGGCAGCGAGTTCTGGCGCGCGGGCGTCTGCAGCAGCGCGCCGCCGTGCGGGTGCAGCTGGTGCGAGGCGGCCATGCCGGAGCCGGAGCGCGGCGAGGCGGCGACGGAGGCGTTGGCGCGCTGGGCGAGCGGCTGGCGCGCGGCAGCGGCGGCGGCGGCGAGGAGGTGGTGCTGCTGGTGTGCGTACGAGGCGGCGTCGGCCGGGTGCAGCTCAAAGGTGCCAGTGGAGGGCGAGGCGGAGAGCATCATCCAGCCGCGGCAGGCGGCGAGGAGGGCACCTGCGGCAGAGCAGCTGCGCGGGTGCGACGCGTGACGTGTGAGACGGGCCGAGGCGCGGGCGTGGCTGGCGGTGCGGGATGGAGGCGAGATGGAGTAAGCAGGGATGGGAGAGCAGGCGAGGATGAGGAGCAGAGCCAAGGGGCGGCCAGCGGAGAGGGGCGACGGCGTGGTGCTGCCTCTGCGGCGGTGCACCCTGCGCAGGCGCAGGTGCCGCACGGCGCGAGAGGAGCACCGCTGCGAGAGAGCACACGGCGAGGCGGGCAGCACGCGCACCGCACCGCTGCACCTCGCTCCTCTCCTGCCGCGCCGCATGCCCGGCGCCGCACCGGTCCCACGCCCGCGCGCGCTGTCACGCTGCTGCTCCGCGCCGCCTGCCCTCGGCAGCGCCCTATACGCAGCGCCGCCTCGCCGTCGGCTGCTGCTGCTTGCTGCGCTGAATGTGCCGCCGCGCCGCAGATCTCGCTGCGGCATCAGCCGCACACGGCAGCAGCGGTGAGCAGCGAGCCACGCCTCTCCCGAGCGGCCGCGAGCCCGCTGCCCAGCGCACCGGCCTTGTGCTGCGAATAAGGCGCGTGCGCCGGCGAGGAGGCCGCGCCGCGCCGGCCGGTGCTCGGCTCGCAGGCACGCGGTGGCTGCTCTCCTGCCCGCCTGCCACAACAAGCAGACCGCAAGCGCGAGACACTCGGCTGCCGCAGGAGAGAGGCCCGCGAGAGGAGGCGGGCAGTCAGCACTCGACTTCGGCGGCGAGTTGCTGCGTGCGGGCGCTTAAAGCTCGCAGGCGCACGGCCAGTGTGCCTGATGCTCGTGCGGGAGACCACACCGGCCAGGGTCTGTGCCTGCGCCCCTCTCGCGCAGAGATACCGCTCGCTCACTTCACCCGGACGCTGCAACTGCTGCGGCAGCGGAGGTTTGGCTGTGCCCGTGGTGCTCGTCTCGAGCCGAGCGGGCTGCCAGCCCGGCTGCCTTTGCCGTCGCAGACCATCTCGCAGCTTGCAGTCAGGTGACCGATGCGCTGGCACCCATCTCGCTCCTGTCTGGCAAGAGGGCCATCAGGGACCGCCATCTCGTCGCACTCGAGCTGGCAAAGCTGTCATGTACCGTGACAGAGGTGCAGCTTCGGCTCCATGGCGGCCAGCCTGATCAGAGCTGCTCCTGTCACGGCTGAGATCTGCCCGCAGCGCAGATCATCCACTCTTGCCCCTCGTGCGGCAGTGCAAGTGCGGATCGCTGCACCCGACGGAAGCGGGCGGACGATGTGACGGTGCTCTGGGCCAGACTCGGGATCAAATGGCAGCTCCTTCGCATCTCATGGCGAAATGAACAGCGGTCGCAAACCCTTTGCCCTGGCACGAGCCACAGAGAGCGCCCTCTGCCTGCACCTGGCAAGCCCGACCCGCTGCGCCAGAGCCACAGGCCTTTGAGCCAAGCAGCACAGCCTCCAGCAGGAGCAGAGCAAAAGTCGGCAAGCGCCGACAGGAAGCCTGCTGAGCTCGACGATGCATGCCCCGCTGAGCGCTGCCTCTTGAGGGCGCCGACCTCGTCCGAGGCTTGCCGACGCGCCGCAGCCGCAGCACCTCGTCCTCGCACCCGCTGGCCTGGACCCGTGAATCGGCGCCGCTGCTCGATGTGACGCACGCTCGGAGGCTTGTGACTTCTGCTGCAGGTACAGAGCTCAGCCCGCAGCAGCGACGGGCTTCCATGTGGCGGCGGCGGCCCCACGTGTGCGCTCCGGAGCATCGGAGCGCCATGCAAGAAGACGCGGCAAGCCACCACGCGGAGGTGCAGCTTCGCGGTGCAGCGCCATCTCCGCCCCTCGGTCGGCCTCACACGCACGGCGTCCCGGGTGCGCCACACCTCTCCAGAGCAGCGGGAGTTGCCAGGCGGGCTGTGCTGCGAGCACAGCCCGCTCGACGCCACAGCTCCGGGTCGTGTGCCTTTCGTCGTCACACTCACACGCACGTGGGGCCGAGGGTCATAATTGCAGCAGGCGCGGGCGCAGGCGTCTGGGGCGTCGTCAGGTGTGCGTAAATGGTGCGGGCAGGCCGGGACAGGATGATGGGGTTGGGAAGAGAAGAGATGCACGAGATGGATGATGATGTGACGAGGGTGGCCAGGGAAGAGAAGAGGGCAGAAAGGCATCGCGAGGTGGGAAGATGGTGTGCCGCCGGACGCGCCTCACTCGGCGCGCAGCGAGAGCAGCAGCGGCAGCAGGCTGTTCTGCGTGCACGTCACGACAATGGCGGTGCCGGGCAGCGGAGCGCCCGGGACGGGAGTGAGAGGCGAGCTCGGCGGCGCAGCGCCACGCCTCTCCTTCGGCGGCGGCGGCGGAGGCGGCGTGTCCTCGGCGTGGCCGCTCGAGCTGCGCTCCAGCAGCGCAGGCAGCGCCGCCGACGCGGCGCCCGACGGCAGCAGCTCGCGCTCGGTGCGGCCGGCGCCGGCGTAGTAGTGTCGGCTGACCGACTGGTTGCGCTCCAGGGCGCTTGCAGAGGGCGCATTGGCGCCGTAGGCAGTGATGCGCGAAGAGGCGACGCGCGAGTCGGACGGCGCACGCTGCAGGCTGCTGCTGCCCTCCTGCGCACCGAAGCCGTTGCTCGCGGCACCAGCCGAACGAGCGAGCGGCGGAAAGCCAGAGCGGGGGCCTGCAGCGACGGCGCTGCTGGCGCTGCGCTGGAGAGAGGCATTGGTGCCCTTCGGCGACGTCGCGCCGGCCGCTTGCGCGGGCTGCTCGGGTGCAATGAGCGTCTCACGCAGCACGTGCAGGGCCAGCGCATTGGCGGCCTTGCGAGTGGCTGCGGGACCCAGGCCGGCACTGGGCTTGCGAGAGGCGCGCTCCTCTGCGATCTCGTCGGCAAGGAGCTTGCGACGGGCGACGGTCTGCTCGATAGCCTTGACGAGCTTGCGCGTCCAGACGTGCCGGCTTGCCTCGTCGTCGACGCTGAACATGTAGCGGCGCTTGGTGGCGCTCGCATCGACGCCGGGCAGTGTGATGGTGAAGCAGTTCTGCATGAATGCGCGCTCCACCGTCATGCTCGCGGAAACAGGCAGTGAGCTGAGCGAGCCGGCAGTCGCCTCGAAGTAGTACCGAGCGTTGCGGCCCGCGCGGACAAAGACGGCCGTCTTGGCGCCGAGGGCGCGGCTCGTCATCGTGAATGTCTGCGTCGTGCTCTTGTCGAAAGACAAGACGGGTGGTTCGAAGACGATGTCCTGGCCGTAGAGCCGCAGGGCGAAGTCCGGGTCGGGTGCCGGGATCGACAAGCTGACTGGTGCGCTCGTCTGGCCGTAGACGAGCTTCGACGGCAGCCCAGCGCCACCGTCGATGCGGATGACGTGACGCGGGCCCGGCTCGTCGGCGGCGAGCGCCTGCGCGATGGGGTCGGAGCGCACTGATGAGAAGATGCGCAGCAGCGTGCGGTCCGACAGCACCTGCGACTCGTCGTGCTCGCGGAAGGCGGACAGGAACGCATGCCGGCCAAGGGTGGGCATCGAGTCGCTGAAGAAGCCCGGCGCGCCCTTGTCTGCCTCGTGCGAGTACAGCGCATCGTTGAGCGCCATGATGGCGAGCACGAGGTTCGTCGCCAGCTCGGTGCTGAACTGCTCCTTAATCAGGCCGCGGTTCGCCTCGGTCCACTTGCGCGAGAACGACACCAGCAGCGCCTCGAACTCCTCGGCGTCCGCAGGGAAGCGGAGCTGCAGCAGCAGCGAGCGCAGCGCCGACTCGATCGACACGCCCGCGTAGCGCTGCAGGCCTAGGTACGCCTGCATCACCGCCCGACGCTCGCGATCGCTTCGGCAGAGGTAGCGCGTAAGCTGCTCGCGGTCCAGGTCGGGCGTCTGGTGAAGCAGTCGCGCAAGCGTAGCCGCGTCTCGTGGCAGGCTCGACTGGGTGACGATACTGTCCAGCGCCGCCTCCGGGTCCGAGCGGAACTGCTCGACGAAGGCAGCCATGAGCGGGTGAGGCTTCGGCGGGGTGCGTCGGTCGGAGGCGACCGTGACCTTGGCGCCGTGCAGCTCAATGACATTCTTGACATCGAAAATCCACTCCAGCGTCGGCAGCTGCGTCGAAGACGCGCCGTTCGAGGGCGAGACAGGCGGCGCGTTGGCCTTGGCAATGACGAGGATGTCGGAGAAGAGCAGGAGGAAGCGGTCCTTGACCGTGTTGTTCGTCACGACCTGGAGCACCGGCGACGCATGCAGGAGCTCTCGCGGCGGACGCTGGATCTGCTCGGCGCTCAGCTCCGGCACGGCCGGGATGTTCGTGTCGAGCACCACGGGCGACGTGAAGATGTGGCTGTACCGATGCAGCATCGCGGCGGCGGCAGGCGCAAGGCTGGACGTCGTCGCTGCGGCGTCTGCAGCGTCACGTGGAGACGGCACCGCGAGGCCAGTGTCGACCGAGCCCACCGTCAGCTGCCCAACGTCGGGGCTGCCATGGCCAAGCGAGCTCGTCTGCTCGACGTCGATGGACGCGCCCTGTCGAGACGGCGCACGAGAGCCGACCATTGACGACATCGACGCGTTGCGGTGCAAGCCCTCTGCGTCCAGTGCCGCATTGCGCGACCAGGCAGACGGCGGCGCGGGCTTCTCGGGCGTCGCGCGCGTAATGACCTGCACCGGCACGTCGTCGCCCCGCTGAATGTCAGGGATGGGCTTGCGTGCTAGCGATGTCTGTCGCCGCACTGGGCTGAGCTCGGCGCTGCTGGGGCTGCCAGCATCCTTGGAAGCGCCTCGACGATGCAGGTCGAAGAAGCCGCGCTTCGAGGCGAATGCAGGGCTGTCGCGCCCCGACGGATGCGAAGGCGAGCTCGAGGCAGATGCAGGATCAGGCGAGCCACGCACAGCGCCGGACGCCTTGCGTCGAAGCGACGAGAAGAAGCCCGGCCCAACGAGCTTGGGCTTGCCAACCGCTGCCGTCGCGGTAGACGCAATCATTGTGCGCTCCTCGAGCAAGCTGCTCGGCGCCGGTGACAGTGTGTCGTCTGGCTGGAATGCCAGCACGGCGACCGGCGTGATGGGGCTCGCGCTGATGTGCATCGGCACGATCGGCTTGCCGGCACCAGCGCGAGCCGCTGCGAGGCCGAGCGGCGGCGGAATGGTCGAGTCGGCGGCGTCGGTCGAGGGGCGCGAGACGTGGGAGAAGTGCGAAGTGTGAGAAGCGTGCGAGGCACTGCTCTCCGGTCCAGCGCTTCCAAACAGACCCGGGAAGGGCGTCAGCTTGTTGTTCGTGTACAGCGTCGCGAGCTCAGCCGAGGAAGCGGCTGGCGGGTGGTAGACATTGGCGCGGGTCGGCCGCGCCTGCGGCGGCGGGGCGGAGAGAATCGATGAAGACGTCGAAGCGTTGCGCGACGTGTGCGTCGGGCGGAAGGACGAGGGCGCATGGCTGTCGCTGGACAGGCTTCGCTGCGAGCCGCCCGAAGGAGACATGGCATGCAGCGAGTGGGGCGGCGCGGGCAGCGGCGAGTGCTCTGGCATGCCGCTGGGCACGGCCTGTTCGCCCTCTACCACCTCAGCCACGCTGCCGGCCCACTGCATCACTCGCTCGAGGCCGCCGCCCGACGGTCTGCGCGCCAGCGATGCAGGCGCAGATGCAGGCGTCGCCTCTTCTGCGGCCGCGCTGACGCCAAGTCCAGGCAACGCAGTGCCGCTCGAGCGCGAGCGCATGCTGTCTCTCGACGCCGCGAGCGAGCTGCTGCGCTCCGGCGGCATGAGCGCCGGGCCCAGAGTCGAGGCAGACTGCGATGAGGAGCCGGCGTAGTCGAGCGGGTGGCCAAACTCCTGCACGAAGCTCGAGGTCAGGAGGGAGCCGAGCTCCAGCGGGCTCCGCGTCGGCGGTGAGCGCAGGTGCGAGGTGGGCGAGAGGGACGAGGCGTCTGGAGCAGGGCAGTCAGCACCGTTCGCTGCCACAGCACATGGGCGTCGCTCACCTTCAATGGCCTGCAGCTCTTGCGTCGCCTGACGCGCCTCGTCCTCTGCATCGTGCTCATCGCGTGCCTCATCGACTTGGACGCTGTCCCGCGTTGTGGTAGCCACACTCGTGACGCTGACCGGCCAAAGCTCTCTGCGCACCCAGCCGCTGCCCACCGCGCCGTCGCGAGTCGTCTCCGGAGTCTCTGGTGTCTCGTGTGAGCCGAACGTCGTCTTGCCGTTGTGCCCGGCACTGAGGGCGAGCGGAATGCTGGCGCTCTTCGATCCGCCCAGCATCGCCACAGGACTGTCCCACACAGACGTGACCATCGAGCTGCGCGCATTGGGCGTCTCGGGCACCTGCGCAAGCGCACGGTGCGGCTGCGGCGAGCGTTGAGGCTGTGGCGAGCGCTGTGGCTGCGGCGAGCGCTCCGCCTCTGCCGCGTCGTCATCGGGCCCGTAGTAGTGCTGGAGCACCTCGCCGAGGTGGTCCTCCTCCTCCTCATCGTCGTAGCTCGGCTGCTGCGGGCGGTCGCCGCCCCAGCCGCTGCCGACGCTGCGCGCATCCTCCTGTTCGAGATCGAACGCATCGCCACCTTCCTCGAGGTCGAGTTGTGAGGCTCGGTCACGCTCGCCGGCGTGTATGGCAGATGCGCCAGAGATGCTGGGCGCATACGAAGTTGCCGCGGTGGAGGCGTGGCTGCCGAGGCGTGTCCGTGGCGACCGCCCACCCGAGCGAGTGGGCGTGGGCGGCACGAGCAGGCCGCCGCTCGAGGACGCGGCGAGCATCACCGGAGCGAGACCGGCCGAAGTTGGAGTCTCGGGCTCGGCGGACTTTGATGGCAGGGCTACCGTCTGCGCGACAGGAGAGCTCACGCTCTCGGCCTTGGCTGTGACGGCCGGCTCAACTGCCAGCGGCAGCGGCGGCACTGGCGCTTCAGCCGCTGGCGCCGCACTGCTGGTGGATGCTGGCTCGGCAGCAGCCTGGCTCCCATTTGGAGCCCTGCGTCCCGACAGCTTCCGCATCATCTGCGTGCGTGCCACCTCGCGGGCACTGGGCTTGCGCTGCAGCGACGCTGCCGGTGCTGGCTCGGCAGCAGGCACAGGATCTGGAGCAGGGACGGGCTCCACTGCGGCCGTCTCTTCGCGGCCATTGCGTATCGGCGAGGACATACCGGCAGAGCTGCCCGTGGCAGAGCGTGCGGGCCCCAACGCAAAGCGCCGCGAGCTCCGGCGCATCGTGCTATGCCGCTTGGGGTCCGGCGACGGTGCCGCGGTAGTCTCGGCTGCGTCCGTCTCTTCCTGCACCTCCTCTTCCGCCAGGAAGTGTTCGCGCCGCTGCCGCTCGGCGACGACAGTGATGTGAGAGAACGAACGACTGCGCCGCAGTGCGCCTCGCTCTTCGTGCGGGCCCAGCAGTCGCGTCTCGGGGTCTGGCCGCCGCGAGTAGCGCCGCGAGCGGCGCTCGAGGATGTCGGTGGGAGGCGGCGCCTCGTCCTCGCCATCAGACGCCGGCGAGACGGCGCCTTCTCGCGCACTGGCGCCCAGCAGCTTCTCGAGCGCGTACGCTCGCGCCGCAGCAGATGCAGCGCCAGACGAGGCGGAGCGCTCGAGTCCAAGCGCGGCACGCTCGTGCAGGATGCGAGCGCGCAGCTGCGACAGCGACGGCAGAGGAGAGCGCGACGAGGCGGAGCGATTGAGGTGCGAGCCGTGCCCGCCAGAGGAGAGGCCCGGACTGGGCGGGTCGTGCCGCGGCGACGGTGGGCGCAGCGAGGAGGGCGCAGCATCTGCCGAGCTGCTCTGCGCGTCGGGCGCCAGGCTGGGCGACTCAGGACCGGCTGCGGCGCCTGGCCTCCTGGACAGCAGCGCGAGCCCGCCGGCAACCGCACTGCGTGACGTCTGCAGTGGCAGCGCCGAGGTGCCGGGCTCTGCGCTCGCCATCGCGTCGTCCGGCTCGTCGCTGAGCTGCTGCGGCGCGAATGCATGCGCGGGCGACGCCGTCTGGCTGGCAGCGCCGTGCCCATCGCCCGACGGCGGCGACTCTACGCCTGCGCCGCCGCGCCTTGCCTCGCGCTGGCTGGCGGCACGGCGCAGACGGGCGATGGCGTCGGAGCGCGAGTTGGCGCGCGCCAGGCCCGAGGCGCCGCTGCTGCTGCCGGCCTCGGGCTGCGGCGCTGGCGACACGGCGGCCGCCATGGCCTGCATCAGAGTGCCCGCGGCGCGCGAGCCGGAGCGTGTGTGTGTGCAGGCGAGATCAGAGGTGCACGGATGCGCGAGCGCCCATGGAGCGGCCGGCAGCTGTCGGGGCCGTGAGGAGGAGGAAGGGCGTCAAGGCGAGCAGGGGCGGCGCGGAGAGTGGGACACGCAGAGAGACGGCGCCGCAGAGGTGGCTCGGGGTGGGAGAGGTGCGCAGCGCACGAGGGTGCAGGAGAGGGGCAGTGGATGAGGAACAGAAGAACGCGGCGAAGGCGGCGCTGCAAGGCACGGCGGCGCATGGCAACGGCGCACGGGGCGCGGCGCCGTGCAGCCACAGCAAGCAGCGGCACAGGCACCGCCCACCGCTCCGGGGGCGCACAGTCAGCTCCCATGCTCGGGCTGATGCTGATGCTGCAAGCACCGCCGAGCACACTCGTAGCTGAGCTGGCACCGCGGCACGCTCGCCGGCGAGGCGAGGCGCGTCCAGGTGTTCGGAGTTTTGGCGCAGCGGCCCGCAGCGGCACAAACGGCGCCCTCGCGCTCCCGACGCTCACGCCGTCGTCCCGCACCGGCGGCGTCAGGCACCCACATCACACGCTGGCAGAAGATCGCGCGGTGACGAGGCCTCGGTCACCGCTACAGCCGTTTGTCCACGTCTATGAAAAGGAGCAATGTCAGAAGCCAGGGAATGCTCGAAGCGCCGGGAGAGGTTGCGCTTGCGTCGCAGGCGCCTTGGCGCTGCTTTTGACGTGCAACGAAGCCCCACTGCCGGTTCTTTCCCGGGCTATTTCGCCAAGCTTCACGTGCTAATAATGCATCCAGCGACATTTTGGAGCGAATCTCTCGCTCGCTTGAGGCAGCACAAGCCGAGCCAAACAGCGAGAAGCGCTGTGGGAGGCGCGGTCAGGGGTCCAGGAAGAAGGCCAGGCGGCACGGCGCCTTCGGCAGAGTCGCGTCCGCGGGCCCGGCTGCTCCCATGCGCCGCGTGACTTTCAGGCGGCGGCAAGCGCGGCCGAAGCTTCCAAGCTCGCCTCTCACCCTCGCACCCCTCACTTGCCGGACTGCTCCTTCTCTATTCGCAGCGCTCGCAGCGTCCGCCCAGAGCCAGACCACTGCCCCACACTCCGCGCATCTGCCGCACTTCTGCGCCGCCGCACCGCGCATTTCCAGCGCCATGTCCGACACCGAGATGGCCGACGCCTCGGCGCCCGCCTCGCCCAACGGCCTCAATGGCCACGCCGAGGGCGCCAATGGCGACTCGTCCGGCCCGTCGTCGCGGCCAGCACCGCGCGTGTGAGTGTGCCAGCTGCTGGACCTAGCTGCTCGTCCGGTACGAGCTCGGCTGGCTGGGCGCCTGTGGCTCACACCCTCTTGCAGCATCTCTGATGAGCAGCGTGCCGAGGCGGCGGCGGCCAAGGACCGCGGCAACGCTGCGTTCCGGGCAGGGCAGCATGCGGAGGCAGAGCGGCTGTACACCGAGGCCATCGGTGAGTAGCCTTTTGATCGCCACCCCGCCCTCGCGCTCACCGTGTCACAGAGGCGAACCCGGAGGAGCCGACGTACTGGACGAACCGCGGCGCCGCGCTCATGTCGCAGAAGCGGCATCGTGCCGCACTGGCCGACTGCGTCAAGGGCGTCGCGATGCTGCCGGCGCCCGAGGCCAAGCTGCTGCTGCGCCTGGCGCGCTGCCACTTTAACGTCGGCGAGCTGGCGCAGGCCGAGACGGCGCTGGGGCGCATTCTCGACTCCAACGGCGCAGACCCGACGTACGCGCCGGCCAAGCACCTGCGCGCCGACGTGCGGCGCACGCAGTCGTACCTGGACCAGTTTGCGCGTGACCTCAAGGCGCAGCAGTGGGGCGCCGCCAATATGGCCATCTCCGAGGCAGAGCGCAGCGTCTCGGAGATTCCGCCGGCGTGGCGTCTGATGCGCGCCGACGTGCTGCTGCGGCGCGGCGACCTCGACGGCGCCAACATTGCCGCGTCGGACGTGCTGCGCCGCGACCAGAATGACCCGGACGCACTGCTGATGCGCGGCCGCATCCTCTGTGCGCGCGGCTCGGAGATGGAGAAGGCCATCAAGCACGCCCAGGCGGCGCTGCGCTCTGATCCTGAGAACAAGGGCGCTCGCGCGCTCATGAAGCGCTGCCGCAAGCTGGAGGCGGCGAAGGTGGCGGCCAATGAGGCATTCAAGGCGGGACGGCATCAGGAGGCAGTGAAGCTGTGAGTGGAGCGGCGCAGCGGCAGACGAGAGGGCGCAGCAGAGGAAGCTGCGTGCTCTCCGTGTAGCGGCATGTTGAGTGCACGCAGCTCACACGCATGCGTCAGCTACACTGAGGCCATGGGCATGGCGGACGAGGACGCCGCGACGGAGGGCGAGTCGGCTGGGTTCAAGGCGATCCTCTACTCGAACAGAGCCACCGCGCAGTCCAAGGTGAGTCGGCACGCATGCGGTCAGGCTGTGCCAAGCTGATCCCTCGTCACAGCTCGGGAATAACGACGAGGCCGTGGCAGACTGCAACGCAGCGCTCCAGCTCAACTCGGGCTACGTCAAGGCGATCCGGACACGCGCGCGCGCCAACCTGGCGCGCGAGGCGTACGAGGACGCCGTGAACGACTTCAAGAAGGCGCTCGAGGAGAGCGAGACGTCGGGCACGCCGGCCGACGTCGCCAGCCTGAAGAAGGAGCTGCGCGGCGCTGAGATCGACCTGAAGCGCAGCAAGAAGAAGGAGTGCGTGTGTGCGTGCGTGCGTCCTGCGATGCCAGCTGACGCCCTCTCTCCAGCTACTACAAGATCCTGGGCGTGTCGAAGGACGCCAACTCGACCGAGATCAAGAAGGCCTACCGGAAAGGTGTGTGCGAGTGGCGAAGGCCAACGCGGCAATGCTCACGCCTGCTTGCCCTCTGCAGAGTCGCTCAAGCACCACCCCGACAAGGGCGGCGACGAGGAAAAGTTCAAGCTCTGCAACGAGGCCTTTGGCATTCTCAGCGACGACCAGAAGCGCGCGCGCTACGACGCCGGCGCCGACGACCCGGAGAACGAGTCGCCGTTCGGCGGCGGTGGGGGCGGCTTTGGCCCAGAGGTGAACCTGGCAGACCTCTTTGGTGAGTCTCCACTCCGCAGCTCTCCAGGTCCGCTTGCTGACAGCACTGCTCAGGCGGTGCCGGCGGCATGGGCGGCATGGGCGGCTTCGGCGGAGGCATGGGCGGCTTCCCCGGCGCCGGCGGGCCCTTTGGCGGCGGCGGCCACCATCACCACGGAGGCAACCCCTTCGGCGGCGCAGGCGGCAGCAGGCGGCGCGGCTTCGACACGCATTTTGGATAGACGGTCGCGGTAATGCATTGCTTGCCAAGCGAGCGCCAGCGGGCGCAACACGAATGTCAGCCTCGCGCATCTGTGATGCAAGCGCTAGCTGCTCGCTACGCCAACCATGCCCAGGCGATCTCGCAAGCGCGGCCGGCAGCCGTCTGGGCTCGGACAAATGCCTGACCTAGATCGTCCCGAGCGCTCTCGCTCTCTCCCAGCGCCTGACCTAGATCGTCCCGAGCGCTCTCGCCCTCTCCCGGCGCCTCCGCACGTCGTAATATTGTTTGCCATGCGACTCAAACTCGGCCGGCTCGCCCTCGAATGCAAAGTCGTCGTCCTCGGTATTTGAGTCCATAAAGAACTGGAAGCGCCGCGGCAAGGCGGGCTTGCCGAAAGGCTGCTCGGCGGGCGCGACAGTGCCGAAGTCCCAGGCTGAACATCCCGTCAGCTGCGTACAGGGGCCGCGGGCGTCCACTATCTCACTGCTCAGACCGGGCCAATCCGAGTTGAAGTCCGTCGCGACGAAGAGGCTCGCGTCGTCCGCCTGGATGCAGCTGAGATAGTTTGTCTGAGTGAGGCTGCAGGCCACTGAGATCTCGCGTGCGACGGAGGGGTGCCAGCCTGCCTCCAGTCTGCCGGCGTCCAGATCGACCAAATAGAGCGGCGTTCCGCGTATGCCGAAATGACAGATCGCACGCCCGTCGCGCACAGCGAGGGAGCCGCGAGGATGGACCTCCTCGTGGTCTTCGAAGAGTTGCACGACCGTGTAGGTCGCCTGGCTCGGGTCGGACATGAGCGCCTCGTAATTGCCGATAAGTACAAGGCTGTCGTCCGTCAGAGCGACCAAGGTGCCCGTACGTGTGTCGAGATGTACCGCATGATACGACCGCCACAGCAGCTCCTCCTAATCCTACCTCGTCAGCAAAGAGAAGGAGCGAAGACGTGCGCAGAACCCACCACGTTGTCCTCGGTCACCAGCTCTGGCGCGTCAAGGGACAATTTGGCCCAGTATGCCAAGCCGCTGCCCCTGCTCCGGATCCTCCACGCTCGCCGGAGGGTGACCTGGGACCAGGGCACCGTCGTGCCGAAGTGCTCCTTGCCCATGTCCCAGAAGGCATTGTCGCTGCGGCGGATGACGACCAAGCCAGAGACAGGCAGCGTGCGATAAGGTTCCGACAGCTCGGAGTGTTGCAGGCCTCGAGCAGCAGTCAGAAAGACGTATTCAGGAGTATGCTCGATGTAGCTAGTGAAATTCTCCTCGCCCGGGTTCTCCGTGCCTGCCTGCGCCACTACGGCTCCCCTAGGATCGCGGAGGTCGAAGAGCACAGCGCACTTTGAGGATGTCGACACGGCAAGAGTGGGATAGTTGAGCTTGAAGGCGATGCCGTTGCCAGTGTCGAGCGAGGCAGGCACTGGAATCGTGCCAGTCAGCTTGTGCGCACCTCGCACAGGCGGCCGACCGAGCTCCGCGGCGCCTAGAATGCGCTCGCTGCTCCAGACTTGGAAGTGGCCGAAGAGGCTGGCGTCTGCTGCGGCATGCTCGAAGAGGACAACATAGCCCTGATCCGCCTCGACATGGGTGTATGCACTCGCTGCGGTATGCCACAGGTCGACACCCAGCTCAGCGCGCAGGTTGACGGCTGGCCCCGGCAGATCCTTGAGCGGCGGCACGCTGAGCACGCGCAGCACCCCTTCGCTCGCGTCGGAGCAGATGATTGTGCCCTCGACGTGATCAAGCTTCATGCGCCATGGCGACCGGAGAGATGTAATGGCCGCGTACGCCCGACCGGCATTGATGCCGGGGACCAGACACGACAGTACAGGGTGCGGCTCGTCGCTGGCCATCGTGCCCCAGCCCGCGGCGATGTCGCGCTGGCGCGCGCAGAGGGCGGCGAAGTTGGCCAGGCCCTTGTAGTGGCCATGCACGCTCGCGAGGCCGAGCAGCATGGCGCACTGCTCGCCGTCCGCCGCTGCGAGCTCGGCCCAGACGGCGGTGCGCGGCGGCACGATGCCGGCGCGGAAGGCGGCCTCGGTGAGGGCGTGCAGTGGCGCCGTCTCGGCCTTCCAGCTCTGGCTCACGCCGCGGCAGCGTGCCAGCTCGGCGAGGGTGAGCTGCTCGAGGACCAGGCGCTTGAGCTCGCTGGGCAGCAGGCGCCAGCAGTCGCCCGACATGCTGCCTGCAGTGGAGGAGGAGGTGGGCGTGAGGCAGAACCTTGCGCGCGGGGCCGATCAGGGGCACGAAGCAACCCAACTGCCGCCGCGTCCGTGCACGCTGCGCTCCGCGTGGGGCGCGCCCATGAGCATGCGCCAAGGCTGCGCGTACCGCGTGGTGCGTCCCGCTGCACCTCAAGGGTCCGAAATGCGCAATGCTGCAGCCTCAGGCTTGCTCGAAAAAGAGGCCCCATCACATTGCGTCAGCCAGGGCATGCTCGGATGCTTGCTAGGGCTGTGCATACGTGGCGGCGCAGCGGCTTGAACTGTTCCCACGCCCTGGCCGAGGCGTGGGAACGGCTTTCGCGTGGGATCACGTGATGCGCGCCGCGACCGCCGCCGCTCACGCGGCGCGCCGCGCCAGCATCCGATTCGATTTAGGCGCGCTGCTGCCTCGCACATGCACCCCTGAGCACCGCACCGCGGACCGAGCTGTTGACACGCGGCAGGCCCGAGACAAGCGGACGTGATGGGATGTGTCATTAGGCAGCCTCTATGCTGGCGGCGAGCCGGCGTCGCCCAAGCGAGGTCGTTACGAGATGAGGCGGAGTGGATATCCAGGGAAGAGCAGGCGTCTAGCCGAGCTTGCTCTCAAGGTCCGCCAGCTTCGAGGCGTGGTGCGAGGCGGCGGGCTGCGTCGGCTCCAGCTTGCCCGCCGCGATGGCGGCTTCGGTGGGCGTCGTGCCGGCGGGCTTGAGCGTGCCCTGCTCGTCCTCGACGACGTGCTGCAGCAGCTCGAGGCGCGCGGCACGGTCGAGCTCGGGGTCGTAGGCCAGGTGGCGCTTGTGCACGACGCGCTCCCACAGCGAGAGGTGGCGCGGATGCACGGCGACGCCGTGGTACTCGTGCTCGCGGCCCTGCGACACGTACTCCCAGTAGCGCTCCTGCTCCGCCAGGTCGAGGCCCGTCGTGTCGGGCACAAAGACGAGCGTCAGGGCCCAGCCGAGCAGGCCGAACCAGCACACAAACCTGCGGCAGGGACGTCAGCGCACGTCGGAGAGGCTGGCAGAGGCTCGACGCACCAGAACTTGGTGCGGTTCGGCAGGTAGCTGTACAGCACGGCCGGCAGCAGCGCTCCCAGCTTGCCCATCGCCGCCGAACTGCCGTGGCACGTCGAGCGGATCGTCGCCGGGTACACCTCGGCTGCGAGCAGGTAGCTCGTAATGTTGGGACCAAATTGGGTGAAGAACGAGCTCAAGAAGAAGAGCGCCTGGAACCACCTAACGCCCTGCCCGGGAACCGTCAATTGCTGCAGAGGGTCGTCAGTTTTTGAAGGTGGGAATGCGATGCGCGGCGCACGTACCGGGTACAGCACGGCGCATATGAGGAACAAAATGAAAAGCGCTGCCAGACCATTTGCCTGCATCCACTTGCGGCCATAAAGCTTATGGTCGATGAGGAGCGAGCCCAGGTAGTAGCCGCAGAGGCCCACCGCGACGTTGATGAGGTTGTAGATCCAGGTCGTGCGCAGCGAGCTGTTGCCGCCCGTGATGAGCGAAATGAATACGCCGCTGAAGATCTTGCTGCCGTAGAAGAGCACGTCTGCGTTAGAAGAAGGTCAGCCACGGGGCTCACGCCAGCATGTGAGAGCGACAGGCTGTGTCGACGCCTCACATCGCTCCCAGAGCCCTGACACTCGGACTCACCGTTTACGAACCACACGACGCCGGTGCCGATGAGGCGGCCGTAGTAGTGGCTGCTGGCAAGCCTGAGCGACTTGATGTCGTAGGCCGAGACCTTCAGGCGCTTCTTGGCGGCCTTGAGCTGCTCGTCGCCGGGGTAGCGCGTGTTGTAGCGGCGCCAGGCGAGCCACGCCGTAATCGGGATCGTCAGTGCGAAGCTGACACGGAACGTCGCCTGCGCCGTCGGCTCGGAGAACGGCGGCTCTAGCGAGCCCGAGTTGAAGGCCAGAAGGAGAAGGAGAAGAATTGCTTGCTGGACAAATTGTCCCCAGCCCTGCATGGTGAAGGCGAGCGAGACGCGCCGCCCGCGGTGCATCCGGTCCGAGATCGTTGCGCCCTTCGCTGTGCTCGAAACCTCCAGCGCTGCGCCGCAGATGTCAGCATATCTGGCCGCTATCCTCCGCAGAGACGCACCAGACGTTGCAGTCAGAGGATATTCTCCACCGACCGAGAAGCCGTAGATGTACAAGGCGAACGCCCACCAGATTACGAAACCCTGGAGATGATCAGACCCAGCCCACATGGCAGTCAGGAGGACGGCGCCAAAAGTCAGTCCCACCGCATCCTGCACCAGGCCGAAGCGGCGGCCGATGTAGTCGCCTTCGATGCCGACGCAGATCTGGTGAGGGTGGCAGAAGAAGGGGGGCGGAAGGCAAGGGTGAGCACCGGAGGGACATCTCACGCGCACCAATGCGTGCGGGCGCAGGCGCGGGCGCGAATTCACTCACCTGTCCAGTGATGATGCCGACGATCTCGAGCCACTCGACAGCGCTGATCCACTCCTTCTTGCACACCTCGTGCCGCGAGAAGCACTGCGGCCAGACGGCCTTCATGAGGGGCATCTGTGCGGGGGTGTGAGAAGCGCGCCTCGCACACACGCACTGCCGCCACTCACCAAGTTTCCCACGGAAAAGAGCACCCACGCCTCGGCAAACAGACCCATGCCCGTGACGATGTAGTTCTCAAAGTACGCCTTGAAGGGCGAGAGCGGCGCCTCGCGGAACATGCGGCCAATGACGGCCAGCTCGCGGCGCGCCTCGGCGTTGCTCTGTGCGCTGACCCAGCGTGCCTTCTGCGCAAAGGGCAGGTCGGCCCAGTAGACATTGTCGCGCGTGTAGCTGTCGTGCGGGTAGAGCAGCTCGTCGAGCGCCGAGGAGGAGGCGTCGGCGGCGGGCGCACGCTTCTCCACGTCGCTGCCGGCGGAGCTGGGCGAGCTTGCGCTGCTGCGCTCGACTGCGAAGGGTCAGAGCAGCAAGGTGGAGGTGCCGCGCGAGCTACGCACTGGAGTCAGCCATCGCGACGGAGGCGGAGGCTGTCGGAGGGTGGTGCTGCGAAGCGTGCAGCGGAGAGCGCGAGGTGGTGGAGATGCGGGATGGACCAGTGAGAGCGAGAGCGGAGTGCCGCCTTCTTGATGGCCGAGCTGATGCGGCGCGAGCCGAGCGGCGAAAGCGGCGGCGGCATGCAGCAAGCGGCGGCGCGCCTGGATGCTGTGCGAGCTTAGCGCCGGCGGCTGGCACTCACAGGCGCAGTGCCGTCGGCCCGCCACCGCGGCGCGGCGAGGGTCGCGCTGCCGCCGGCATCCGAGAAGTTTTTGAGCTCATCTCCGCCGGCGCGACATCAGCGAGCACGAGAGGAGAGGGAGCGAGGGCCGAGCGAGGGCCGCACCTCGCATTTGCAGCACGTGCGCATAGGAGACTGCCGGCAGGGTGAGAGGGCCGAGGGCGAGCGGGTCCGTCGCTGGGATGGGGTGAGCTCGGCGGGAGGGGCGGCCGGGTGAGAGGCGTGACGTGCGAGAGCGCCCGCAGGCCGGCGGCTCGCGAGGTGCCGCGGTGTTGCGCCTGCCGCGCCGCGCCGTGCCTGCAGCCGCCAGCGCGGCGCAGCAGCTCCTCCTCCCACGCCCCTCTCCCGCGCTCCGAGCACACGCAGAGCCAATCCCGGCCGCTGCTCACCGCGAGGTACAGCGCAACGACGCCCGCCCTGCCTCTCTCCTGCTCCTCTTCTTGCGGCGAGACCTTGGCCGGGCCGTCGATGCCGTGGGCGTAGAAGCAGCTGCTAGGCGGCAGGCGAACGTGCGCGCAAGTGCTCGGTGCGTCATGGCCCCACGCGCGCGGGGTCTTGCGATGGGCTTTTCGGCGTCGCGCAAGGGCAGCGGGCGGCAGCAGCACCCTCATGTCTCAGCGATAGGGCACACGCTTGCTCTTCTGCGGGCCGCTGTGCTGGGCCGACGATCGGCAGCATACATGCGCTGTTCCGTGCGAGGTGGAGCGAGCGGAGGGTGCGGCAGAGGTGAGCGCGCCGACTGCTCCCACGCGACCGCCTCCCATCCGGAGCCGGCGAGGCAACTCATGACGCAAAGACGCAGCTGGCGGCGCTGCAATCGGGCTGCCAGGCACGCCGTACCGTTGCAGCGTGGAGAGCAGGCGGCGAACGGGCGCGGGAGGAGCGGCGAGGGAGAGGAGGGGCGGCGTTGGATGTCATGCGCGACGAGCGCACGTGCGCTCCTCGACCGCTTTCCCCTCGCTGAGGCGGCGCGGCCTCGAGCCGTGGGCGCAGCGCTCGAGCCTTCTTCCCCGCCTCCTCCCTCCCTCCGAAGCTGCCCTGCTCCACCAATCAACAGCTCCGAGCCCTCGAAGGCGCCGCAGCTGGCCATCTGCTGCTGCAGCCCCGACGTTCAGCCGCAGCGATCCGCGTGCCTGGTGCTGCAGATCTCCTCTCGCCGCGCTGCATGCTGGCGTCGATCGAGCGCCCGTTGACTGCGCCGCCCACGCTGCATAAGCTGCGCCATGCCGCCGCTGCCGAAGTGCGGCACGTATGAGGGGGCCAGACCGCCGGCTTAGGGCGTCAGGTACAGGGAAAGAGCGGCTGTGCCTGGAGGGCGCTGCTGAGCTGAGTGAGCGCACAGGGGTGTAGGCGAGGATGCCGTATGCGGCGCATACAGCCGCGGGCCGCAACCGCCGCCGTCCGTTGGCGCAAGAAAGTGCGCTTCTCTCGCGACGGAGTCGCAGCGCAAGCGCGCTCCTCGTCGAGCTTCGCAGAGACCAGAGACGCGAGCTCTGCACAGCTTGCTCGGGCATCGACAGCAGCAGAAGCGGCTCTTGTGACGGGCTCTGTCCAGCTTCGTCAGCTGCTCGCCAGCGTGCTTGGGAGCGGTGCGAGATATCTTCTCGCTGCGATCACCTGACCCCAGGCACACAGCCCTCTGCAGAGCGGATTCCGCAGCTATACGAGTGCGACGTCGATGCCGGCCCTTGCGGGCGAGAGCAGCGCGCACCCACACCGCCGGGCGACGAGCGGCCATTCAAGTCGCCGTGCTCGGCGGTGCGACTAGATTCTAGGCTTGCCTCGCCGCCACATCAGGGATCCCCGTTTCCCATCCGAGCCACAGGCACCGCATACAGCCACCGACGCTGGGAAAAGGTGGGGCTGCTTCCGGATGTGGACCAGATCATCGGGCGGCTCCGACGCCTCGAAGAGGCAGCACACAGGAGACGCCTTCTACAGGCGACAGTGCTCCCCTATTGCGCCGGGCTCTGGAAGCCGAAGGCATCGATCTCGGTCTCAGGTCATCATTCTTGACGCCCACGCGGCATCACGGCGCCGAGAGGGGCGCTCAGGAGCTCGCATCGCCGCCTTCGGCCAATCTCGACGCCCTGTGGGTGCGCCGCGCCCCGCTAGAGCGCCCACAGGCCGGCGCTCAGTCGAACGTCGAGGAAAAGGCTCCTTTGCCTTGCGCGGAATCACGCCAGCGCAAGCAGCATGCAGGCGAGGGGCGCATCGCCGGCAGCTCTTGGAGGCCGTCGCCTGCTTTGGACCTGGCCCGCAAAGCTCTCTGGAACGCTAAGCGCGAGGGAAGAGCTGCACCTGAAGGGCCAGCGAGGTACATGCAGCGCAGTAGAGTGCTCCAAAGCGGTCCCAGCCGCTCAGGTCGATCCCTCCTGTGTCGCTGAAGTCTTCGAGTCTTCAACCGAGGAGGTCCGACTGCGCGAGCACGTGTGAGGCTGTCGCGCCGACGCTGCGCACCTTACCAGTTGCCTGAGGACTGCCGAAGGCTCGACGACTCGCCCTTGCTTGGAAGCAGCGGCCGCACTTGCTCCTCGAGGGCGCAGTCTCGCCCCTGGCTATGCGCGAAAGAGGATCAGGCGCAGCAAGGTGAGTGCTGCCCGCGGCGCCAAAGTGCCCCCCGGCGGCGCTCAGGGGGCGGCGCAGCGCGCGCGTCTCGCGCGGCGCGCCCGCACTCTTTGCGCGCGGGCCTGCCGCAGCGCCGAGCAGAGCACCGCACGGAGCGCAGCGCCCGCTATCTCCCTCGATGTCTTCGGGCCTCGCACCGTCGCTTCGATGAGGCTCTCTCACGTACCCCTCGCCCCTCGGCCGGTGCAATACTGCGCCGTCGGCCAGGCCATGGCGCAGCTGATGAGCGGCCGCAGGGCTGGCGGCCGAGGCTGGGAGGCACGCCGCCGGCCACGATAGCGCCTCGCACTTTGCCCCTGCCCCGGCACAGCGGTGGGCGTCAGGGACACCCTATGTGCGATTGCGCCTTCTTTGCAGCAGCTCGAGGAGGCAGACGCCGCCACGCTGCACCGCTGGCAGTGGCGCTGCCGCATGCACGGAAGCCCGCGTCAGACGCCTCGCGAAAAGGCATATAAGGCGCCCCCCGCAGCGTCTCCATCCCCGTCTCCTCACCAGAATCGTCCCATCTCGCGCTACTACACAGCTGAAGCCGGCCTTCCACTGCCTCTCCTCTCTCGCTCTACCTTAGCTCTACAACGTCGCGCCGGTCGCTTCGTCTCTCTCGCTCTACTCTCTCAGACACACCTCTTACATCTCCTTCCACCAACCACGCGCCAGCATGAAGTTCACTGCCGCCACCTTCGCCGCGCTCGTAAGCGTCGCCACGCTCGCCGCGGCACAGGACGCCAACGAGGCGCGCGATGGTGAGTCGCACCCGCCGCTTGAAGGGGGAAGGGAGGGGGAGATGGTACAGCATCAACGGCTTGGAGACTGACGCCTCCTCCTTGCAGCCAACGAGGAGGTCGCCGCCCGCGACCCGCTCATGTACCAGTACGTCGGCACCGGCCGCAACGACCGCCGCCGCGATGCTGGCGAGCACGTCGACGCACGCGACCCCCACGCCATCATGCCGTTCAGCTACATCCAGAACAAGCTCACGGGCGAGCGACGCGACGTCGCCGACGAGAAGTTCGTGGCTCGCGAGCCTTACCTTCCGAACTTCAAGCACATTGACAACTTCCCCGACCCTCGCAGCCTCAACGCGCGCACCGGCGGCTACCACTCGCCTTCGTTCAACTACGGCGCCATGGGCGCTCGCGACGTGGACGAGAAGCTCGACGCGCGCACCGGCGGCTACCACTCGCCTTCGTTCAACTACGGTGCCATGGGCGCGCGTGAATTGCCGCACCTGAGCGCCCGGGGCGTCGACGAGCTGGAGGCTCGCGAGCCGGGCAAGTTCCGCATGCTTGGCCACATGCTTACTGGCGCGTCGCTCTTTGCAGGTCGTGACGAGGGTGAGCATTCGGATCGTGAGCTCAAGGATCTGGCGGCTCGGGACCCGTCGAAGTGGAGCATGCTGGGCCATGCGCTCACTGGCGCGTCGCTCTTTGCGGGCCGTGACGCTACTGAGCTTTCGGCCCGCGAGATCGAGGAGCTGGCGGCTCGGGACCCAAGCAAGTGGCGCATGCTCGGCCACATGCTCACCGGCGCATCGTTCTTCGCGGGACGCGACAACGGTGAGATCTCGCCAGGATCCTCAAGCGCGGCCGCTGTCGATGGAGGGGCTGCTCTGGGATCTGCTTCGCCTCCAGGCATCGGACTGTGCGTCTTCTGCAGGACAATCGCTGATGCTCTTCATCTGCAGGTGATGCTGAGGAGCTCGCCGCTCGCGACCCGCGTCACCGTGGCGCTTGGCGCGACGCTCTGACGGGCGCCTCGTACACGGCGCAGCGCGACGTCGTCGAGGCTCGCGACCCGCG